TATACACACATATATATATATATATATATATATATATATATATATATATAATATATATATATCATATATACACACATATATATAATATATATATATATATATATATATATATATATTGCATACATATATATAAGTAATTGAAAAGAAATACAGATAAAAACCGTTCTTATAGGCCTAATGGTCACTTATCAGTTATTTGCCTCTCACAACATGGCGGCAGCGTTGTCGCACAATTCTGACCGTTCGCTGCGTCTTCTTCGCTTACGCTGTGCAGGGCCTGTTGGTGTTTTCTGCAGCTAGTTGACTTTCAGTAGCTGAAGGGGAAGTTTCAGCTGCTCTTTGCGGCACAGTTTCTGGACACAGCGGCAGATATTAACCCAAACAGACATGAATTTAATCAGATCTCGCCTCACCGTGGGAAACCTTCTCGGTTCGTAGGATTCAATAATTCATTAATTTGAGATAAAATCGCTCTTAGAAACAAACTAGCATGTTCTACTTTGTCGCTTCGCTCTTGTTGTGTTTCCTAAAACTGTTTGTTGTTGACACTATAACTGAATGGGTAATTTGATGTTTGGGTTATTTTATTGTAATTCTAACGCTATAAATGCATGTTTTCGTGGCACAGTATTGTTGAAAGGAATGTTGACAGTAGATCTTAGTGTGTAGAAGTGGAATAATCAAATAATGTTGTTTTCTTGGTCATGTTTTTCTCTTGCGTGGGTTTTATTTATTGCAATTACCTGTATTATTTTATGGTTAACATGTTAAGCCAAAAGTCTGTTTACATATCTATTAAAAAGTGCATTAAATCCTTTATCTTTATTTTATATGTCTATAATATTTTATTTTCTATATCCTCTTCCTATTATAGTAAAGTTTTATATTTTCGAGATCATATTTTGTAGCTTTAATACATTTTAGCATTGTGTTACTGGAAGTTTGTTTTATTTATTTACAGTTTATTTTGTTTATATATTTCAACTTCGCTTAATTCAATAGATTTTTACTTATTGATTTTAAAATTTTCTCAATTGATAATTATCTGTTTCACCATTCTTCATCATGCTGTTAATTTAAGCTCAAACTATTAATAAGTCAAATTGTGCATCAAGCAAAGAGAAAATATTTAAATTAAAATATTTATAACTATTTAATTTGGGTTCAGAATTGTCCAATGCATTATTAAAGAGTTGAAGGATAGAGGAGAACCATTATCTTTGGGGAAGAAAAGTGGTTAAATCAAATCAAAAGATGACCGCAGTAAGAACGTTTTCATACTTTTAAGGGATAAGGACTAAAAGGGATGTAACCTTTAGAAACCAACTGATCAGTTAGGCTGAATGAAGAAAGTGTCTTCTAAATAATTTCAGGTGGAATGGAAGAGAATTTAGTGGTCTAATGAATCAGTATTTACATTCTTCCAGAGTGATGGGCATATCAGTGTAGGAAGTGGGGTTGATTAGGTCTTCAGTAACTTTTGGGCCCAAGGAGGTCAGCTTTACTACCGAAATATACTAATGAACAGGTTACTATATCAGTGACTTTCTTCTTCTCCAATGACAGTACCATGATTTATTTCGCTCATATTGAAAAACAATAATCAGCAGTTTTTAGTTTTGGCCACTACAGAGTTTAGACTGTTGGAATGAGTAGGAGAGGACATGCAGCCTGCCATCATCTTTACAAGATCTTGGTAAAAGATTAATGGAATTGTGGAAGGAAATAAAAATTATGGTTAAATTCTTTTGTCTCAGCCAGTATCTGTCTTTGATTGCTTTATAATATTATACAGTATAATGAAGTATTTATCTACAGATTTAAAAAAAAAAATATTTTTTATAAGAAGTGGTATGGAAATAAAACATGATAAACAGATGAACAACAGACCAGTTTGATGGAGGACGTGTTTTGTTTTACCTCTTCATGTGAAGGTTTGCTCCATGTGAAGTTAATTAGTTGGAATGGGAAGTATAGGAAAACAAAATAAACTGCAGTTTTCTTTAAATGTATTTATTGAATTCCTTTTGTGGGTTGTTGTTGATCTGATATTTTGCATTTTAGATCTAATTAAGAAAAGCAGCACAATTTTCTCTCAGCATAGGTCAAACACAAAACTTAACAGTTCAAGTTAGATGAGATTACATGTGTTTGTTTAATTTCAATCCAGGTCAGAGGGTCCGAGGGATGTGCAATAAACTTCCGGAGGCCAAGCCAGAGGTCTCTCCAGCAGCTCCAGCACAAGGTGAGGGTGTTTTTGGATTACAGACAAACTGCTCCTTTTTCTTTGATTTTATCATTGGGCTTTATGCCCATCCCTGCAGTCCAACCTGATCCACATTTTATCTCTAAAACATTTTGTTCATTTTAGAACCCCCCCCCCTGCATGGATCTTGTCCATCCAGATTGTTAAATTGTTTGTTTTTAGTCCCAAGAGACTGAAAAGAGAACAGGAAATGGGGCAAACAACTTCTGGGCGATGAAGCAAATCACAGATTCTAGCTAAGGGATATAAATAAAGCTGATACCCCCCCCCCTGCTTTCCTCTCCACAGAATCCAGACCCTTATTCAAAACCCCCGGCTACAGACCCTCCAACATGGACAGGAAGATTTTACTGTGGGCAGGTCGCTTCAAGACTGCGGACCAGATCCCAGAAACTGTGTCGTAAGTAGCCCTTTCCTGTTTATCGCAGACCCCCCTCTCCCTGTCCCTTTAACACGGTGCACGGCTCTCCGATTGCCTCCACATCACAAGAACAGAGCTGACTAAGTGGATGAGCGACGGTGGAGTGTGCGGCTGGCCCCTCTGAGATGTCCTTAGTTCAAACACAGCGTCTGTTTGTGCTCTGAGGTAATTAAGGTGGCTCCTGACATCAGGGTGGAGATCGCATCTGATCTGCTTCTGTGATTAGAAAAAGATCTGCTTGTCATGCTTATGAGGTAAATTCAGGCCGCCTGTATGTGAAGACGCAGAGCTTAGTGTCCAAAATAAACCAAAACACATCAGCCGCTCAGGAGAGTGTCGAAAGATTTCATTGTGTTCATTATAAATATTATTATCTGATGTGAAGATTAGAAATAGAATCCCAAAGATTGATTCCTTTATGGGTATAACATAAAAGGATCACATGTCAATGTTCAAACAGGAGGAGAAAGTTTCACCTCCTTTATTGTTTTCAGACTTACTCTTAACCAGAATAAGCGTTTTAATGATAAATATCATCTTCTCCACAGCTTTGAGATGATCGACAATGCCAGAAACAAAATCAGAGTGAAAGCTGCCTATCTGATGATGGCGTTGACAATAGGAGCCTGTGTGCTGATGGTGATTATGGGTAAAAAGGTGAGTGACAAAGCAGAAATACATCGAAAGCAAGTACAGCTCAGATCCGGTAGCATTCACCTGTAGGATTGCAGTGATGCATAAGGGCATGTCTGTGCAGGCTTCTTTTGCTGAGTCACCCTGAGTAAGCCAGTAGTAAAATAGTCAAGTGTCTTTGTTGTGACTGGCGCTTTATACTATAAGCCTGATTTCAGTACCTTTTTGGGTTTCTAAAGCTAAATTGTTCTTTTTTTCTGGCAGGAAAAATTAACAATTCAGGTCTTCATTTTACATTTTCCTTTCCAACATGCTTTGCTATAAAAAGCTGAAAACATTCATGGATTGATCCTTTGACTTATCTCCAAACCACTTAGCTTCAATTCCATCGTCTAGTCGACCAAGTGGGTTATGAACCTAATAATATGGCTGTGTCCAAACGTCCGCCCTAACCCCTAGATCCGTCCATCACTATATAGAGTGGGTACTATATAGTGGACTTTATAGCAAACTTCTTTAACTTAAGGTTCGGACAGATTATCACTGCTTTTTGCTCCCCATTGGTCACATAACTCCGCCTCCACCGCACGGTGCCTGCGCCACCTTTGTTATTAGTCGCCGCTGTCCGGTAGCAACAGCGGGCCGCTGTGACAACAAATCCCATAATGCTTTGCCAGAAGGACTCTCGCAAAGCATTCCAGTATATATCTGATTGTCTAGTGAACGTAGATTGTCACTACTTTTGAAGGTGCATTGTGGGAAATTTTGAGTCCACTACTTTTTCATCCACTAGTGCAGGGGTATCTAATTAAAAATCATCAACCAGTAAAGGTCCAGAGACATTTTTAATTGTAATCTGTTAGTTTAAACAGAAATTGAACACTGAAATAGATTGAGGTGTTTATGCATCCATGTTAAAAAAAAAAAAAAATAGAACATGTGTCCATTTTAAAATCTAAAGTTTTTTTTGAAAATAGAGAACAACAATCGTTCAGTTTGGTATATAGATAGTTTCCGGATTTACATATTTTGTTTGTTTGTACCTAAAAATCTCCAAATCTCTGAGGTGTCAAAGGAATTAATGGTAATTACTCAAGTAAAAATCCTATAATTTTGTAGAAGTTAGAGTATTAACTGAAGCTTTTTACTCAAGTAAAAGTCTAAAAGTAAAAGTTAGGATGGATGCTTTAAACCTCCTACTGGTTACTGCTCTACCTCACTAAAAGGAACATTTTTCTACAATTCTTTATGATAACTTCCTTAGACTATTCCTAGTTTTATATTTAATATAATTTATATTTTATATTTAAATTCAACTTTGCCTCATTTTGAATAATTTTTTATTTTGGTATGTGGTGAACAACAATTTGGTTCAGCACAAATAAAGTAATTTTCTGGATAAAGAAATTTATTTTGATGGTTTTTACTTTTTTTTTTTAAATACCAACAGGCCATAACGAAAAAGAGTGTAAACGAAACAAAACTTAACGAGTCTATTTTTAAAATGTGAGGAGTAGAAACTAGAGATAATTGCAAAAAAATGTAAGGAATAGAAGTAAAAAGTTGTCTACAAAAAGAATTACTCCAGTAAAGTATAGATACTTTTACTTGACACCTCTGCCAATAGATGGAAAGACATTCGTTAGGATAATGCAAAACGATCCACAATCAACCAGAACTTGAACCCAGCAAAAACCCAAAGACAAGGACATGATTGGATGTCTAACAGACCCACAGCAACAGATGACAAGGAATCCCAAATTCTCACTGGAAACTTCACTCTGGGTTTAATCAGCATGGATTCTCTACTTCTCTGTTCTCCCCCAGATGTTAGCACCTTCATTCCCATAGAAGGCAAACTTTACTCCATTTGAAAAGATTACTTTGATCCACCGATCAACAATCCACTCTGTTTCAGGAAGAGTTTGACATGAGAAATGCTGCATTTGTGGCCCATGTGATTCCTCTGTGTGTGATGCCTTTTTAATGTTCTGACTCCAACCTCAGTCCACTGCTCCTTCAATAATCTGTGATTTAGTTTGATAAATCTGTGAAGAATGTGGGCATCTTTTGCAGTGGTGTCAAAAGTACACACATTTGTTACTTAAGTAGAAGTAAAGCTACTGCAGTTTAAAAACACTCTGGTAAAAGTTGAAGAATCAACTTGGCCTCTTTACTCAAGTAAAAGGGAAAAAGTATGTGCTCCAAAAACTACTGAAAGTATAAAAGTATAAAGTAACCTTAAAAACAAACAGCCAGATGCCACTATATGAATTGAAAGCTATTTTTTTTCTCGACTATTTTCGAAAAATTCTTTTGAGTTGGGGCCAAGGATGAGGGAGGTCTTGTTGGTCTCCATCTTCATCTCCTCATATGCTCTCGCCTGTGTCCGTCCTTTCAGACATTTCGACATCTTTTTCTGGATCCGACATTGTGGCATGGCAGAGACAATTCACATTTGCAGTTTGAAGAAAACCTGCTTGCTTCTGATGATTTCCTTTAGCTAACCAATGAGTGTTTGCGTTCTATGACTCATCCAATTACACTAGTTTTCACTAGATGTGGATGGCCGCAATGATCTGCATTGGATGGAGACACATGTTGTGAAATAAATATTTATAAACATAAAACCAAAGTCAAGAGTAACGAGTAACGTTTGTTTAAAAAAGTTAAGGAATAGAAAGTACAGATACTTGTGTGAAAATGTAATTAATAGAAGTAGGAAGGAAAATAAATAATGGAGTAAAGTGGAGATACCTAAAAAGTGTACTTAAGTACACTAACGAAGTATTTGTACTTTACTTGACACCTCTGATATTTTGTTGGTGCACCGTTTACACTTTTTCCTTCCACTCAATTATCAATTGGTTTGCATGGATACAGCACTTTGTGAGGAATCAGCTTCTTGGGTAATGACTTTTTTGGTGGCCTATCGATAATGTGTAGGTTCTTCTGGACCTGTCAGCTGTCATTTCCATGATTGTGCATCTCACAATAGGCAAACATACTCATAATTGTTTGATTGTGGGTTATTTGTAGGCAATTATAGCAAAATCAAATGAAATAAAGGCTTGAAAATGTTTACTCTTTTTATATGTAAGGAATCCATTCAGTGTTTTTCTAAATGCATAAAAAATATTTGTATGATTTTCTGATCTTTTGAGATTTACTTATAGATTTAGCACCAGGTGGATTAACACACAAAGCTTTTCACCCAGGCTGCTTTTTTTTAAATAAAGTTATGTGTAATAATTTCCCACCCTAAATTATTGAAAGGCAGGCATTGCAGGGAGTGGAGAACCTTCTGCCTGGAAGTGTAAATGATTATTCCTGTTTTTGTTTCCTTCATATAAACCAGTCTTACCAAGATTCCATCTTGTTTTTGCAGGCTGCAGGTCGAAACGAGTCTCTGACTGTATACAACTTGGAAAAGAAAGCCAAATGGAGGGAGGAACTCGAGAAAGAAAAGACTCAGTGATGGACATCAGTAGTCATGATGCAGTTGCAACCAGAAAATTAACTTTAAAATAAAGGAAACAGACTTGTCTTTTGTTTTCAGTCTGATATTAAATAAAAATATTTTCCCATTTTAAAACAGTTAAATTTGCCTCAATTTTGGCAACATTATTTTAATCAAGTACTGCCTAAATTAGAGTTTTTTGGTGAAATGTACTTTCCTTAACGTCTACATTTGATGTATCATTTTAGCAGCTAAGATACTTAAGCTCCAAGACATTTTTCTCCGAATGTAACTGGTTATTCGCACACAAAAAAAACAAAACTTGAATGTCTTCGTCTGAGTACTTTCAAATTCTTATCTGGCCCATTTCAACACTGGACTTGTTTCACTGTAGCCAATGACACTGCTAGCAGCTTTGGCCAGCATCTTCAACAGGATATGCATATTAAACACCAAGCAGTCGCCTAATTGTTGCAGCTGGACATTCCCACTCTGATTAAACACCTGGAAATTACAGCCAAGGATTAGCCAGATTCTTGGATATCTTCAGTTCTTAGTTCCTTCAGGTTGAGGGCTGACCTAAAGTACATCCACAGCTGTGCCTCCATTAAGCTAATTTCATAATCTGGCTCTAGTAAACAAATAATTATGATGCAGCATCAGTTAGCAAAACTGCCAAAATCTTTTTCAAGTTTAGGTCTTTTTGCAGTGAATGTTAATGCCTGGTTTACTGCTTTTCCACCTAACTTATGTCTGGAACAGAGCACTCGTTCTTTGTAGGATTAAAATCCATTACGTTATCAGTAGAAACATGAACTTGGTGAACCCCTACCCCCCGGGACATCTCCAATTAAGAAATCCAAACAAAATTAAGGAGGGACAGTTTTCCTTGTTGCTGTAGATCATGGAAACCTGTCGTAGTACCAACCCGAGAGCTCTTCTTTTCTGATTGGATGAGTGCTTAATCTGTTTCCTCTTGTAAAACATGTCTGTGTTTAGTTTTAAAAATAATCAAGTGGATCCAGTGTAAATGGGTTCCTTATCCTGTTCATATATGGATATAATAAAGTTTTCCGATGGCTGTTGTGGCATTTTGTTGTAGAAACAAGAACAAAAAATAAATGTAATAAAGTAATATATCTTTGGATATGTCCTGCTACTGAATGAACTTACCTGAGAGGTTGTCAGTTTCTCAAGAGTTTAAAAGGGAATCTCTGTTTCAGATCATTTGAAAAACAGTGACATGATAACATCAGCGTCTCTGTTAACAATACCAAACAGGGATTTCCAGGGAAAATACTGAACAAATAAAGCTCAGTAGAGGACAATGAAAACTAATCCACTCGCCGTTAAGATTCTGAAATGGCTTTTATGCAAATGGAAGAACAGAACAGATGCACAAACTCAGTACAACAAACAGTAATGAACACAAAGAGCTGGTCATCTCTTGCAGAGATTGTTTTGACAAAATTAAGCAACGTGAGGAGACTACTTGGTAAACAAACATTCAGTTGTGCTAACTACTATGATCACCAGGATTTTCAAGTTTAATCTGGATTTTTTTCTGCTTGAAATCTTCTGGAAGGATTTCTATATATTAGGGATTATGGCACCATCAACTAAAGATGCTAACTCCCAATTTCTAAGAAATAAGAGACCGACCTAAATACCTCAAGATGTTACAATCCTTGATTTGGCGTGATCAAACAGGAAACATTTACCTCGATATATGTTAGCCTGCTCACAGGTTAAAACAGCCAATTCACCAAATGAGGAGTTGTTTTAGATTTGCTGATTTTGACATGAGTTTTCTGACAGTTTCAGTCCACAATCTGCTTGAGATCCCCTTATTAAGAAGGGTAAAACAGTGTAATCAGGCCTGGCCTCTTTATATCTGGCTTCCTGAGGAGGGAAGAGCCATATCATCAACCAACTTAAATAGGAAACATAACTACCGTCGATGAACAGGCATCAGTCCAGAACTAAAGTGCTGCAAATGAAAAGAAAAAGATGTTTTAATAAATGAACACAAAAAAATATATATATAAAATCCCGCTGGCCTGCTGCTGGACAGAATCCAAGATTAAACAGTCCGTTTTGTTTCGTCGAATTGTCTCAGTGCGAGGGAAGATTCGGATTCCCATGGTTCCATGGGGCTTAAATCGGGTCACGACAGAGGCGGCAGTTTCAACTCTAAAAAGGTGGAGCCAGTGCATGTGGAGAAGTCCCAATACTGGTAGGAAGGAATGATATGAGATCAGGGTGGGAATGTAAGCAATCCACCGCATAGCGATAAAGTCAACTTTCTAGTCTATATGTGGTTTCTGAGACACGCAGAGCGAACAAACCCATCCTTCTTTAAATTAAGTGCCTTTCTTAGCGGTCGGTCCACGTGACGAACACAAACATGGGGTCCATGTCTCGAAGGTCAGTCCAGTGTTTAGGTTGCAGTCTATTTGTTTAGGAGGGAATATTCAGAGGGGGTTGAGGACCGGATCAAGTTGTCCATCTTCCAAGTCATTAATGCTTCAGGCAAGCAGGACAGTCCCAATTCTCCCAATGGCTGAGAGAGTGCTTGCCAATCCTATGGTAACAAGGAGGATGACATTTTTCTTTGTGATGAGGAGTGGAGGAAAACCCAAAGCCAGCTGAAGCTCTGGTCAGGAGATTAAGAAGTCAACAACAATGGAGAAAAAAAAAGTAAACCTTTATAAACTGGCTGACGCATTTTGGAAACTGACCCATGTTGGTTGCATGTGTGCTTCTGTAACGTTACAGAGTAGTAAAATGATCGAGATAATGATTCAGTCCATCTCTCTGGGAAACGGGGGGAGAGGGGCTGCTTGTTACCCTGGATCTGGCTGTGGGCAGAGACTGAGAGACGTGAGCAAAGGTGAAATGAAGCTGCAGCTTAGGAGAATTTATTTAGCATTATAGCTGGAAGCCTTCCATCGGAGCCTCGCATTGCTGGAAGAGGAACTGCCCCTGCTGCAAGTCAACGGCTGGAGCCAGCGATGGGTCCTCATCTTCGGTGCTGAAGTAGCGCTCGATCAGATCGAAGGCTTTCTGGTAGATTTCCTGGTTCTCGTGGCCCTGCAGGAACTCCAGTTTGTCCAGACCTGAGAGGAAACGGAAGGAGAGGAAGCTGAAGATGCTTGTACTTATTTTACCACAGCAGCATCAGGGCTTTTGCACTTTTTCTTAAATTTTTTATTATTCAGTTCAGATCCATTTAAACATCAGTTCATGAATGTATTGGAAACTTAAAGGGAAGGCACCGAGAAGGAATGTTAGATGATCGAAAGCATAGAAGAGCAAATGGAGGTGTCTATGGATGGATAGATTTACACAGTGACTGAGTGTTGGATGGACATAGTTGTTAGCTGGACAGATTAAGATCTTGGTATTGAACTGAAAGCCAGACAGATGGACAGATAGATTAATGTATACTGTTAAGATATAAATACAAAAGAAAAATCAAAAAAGAATCTTTTGATTGGATGATAAATTCAGATATGCGTTATTTTGTAAATTAGACACCAAATATATTATTACCCCTGTCAACAAAACCCCAGAGAATGTCTCAAAGTCTACATAAGAAAATATACTACCTATTACCTGCTGCTACTTCAAAAGACAGAAATCTGTACTTTTTAAAGATATGAGTGGATGGATGGACTAACCATAGGCCTCTTCAATGAGAGCGCAGTAAGGGTTTATGCCGCCTCCTCTTTTGGCCTCCAGCTCTCCCAGTCGCAGGATGTTTTCTAGACCATTTAGAGCCACTTGGACTATTTTGGAATCCATCAATGTGAGCAAATCGCACAGAGGTTTTATACAGCCAAGTTCCACAAGATGCCTGCAGGGGGAGGTAGAGGAACATGATAAAGACTTACTACAACCAATATTCAGTTATCTTTATTTTATCTTTAGACTAACAAGGTGTTATAAGTTAACAAAAGGAGTAGCTTTAATCATAAATCAGGTCTTAAATAAAGGGAATCAGTCTAAATCTCAACTATAAGAATCTTCTAGACATGTTATTAAGTTAATGCTTTTAAAAAAAGTCTCACATTTATGTTTCAAGGCTACAAATAAAACAAAAAAACAAGCTTCATTTTCACCTAATCTGCTCTCCAGAGCCCCCAGAGGTGGCATTGGTAATGGCCCATGCTGCCTCCTTTCTTGTGCGAAACTCTGCTACCTGCAGAATACTGATGAGAGGTGGCATCAGGTCTGCATCTATCACCATCTGTGACAAGGGGAAATAAAAAAAAGGTCTTCTGAGAGTGCAAAACGATTAAAGTTGCATAAAAAAAATACAAACATGTAAACACACCTGAATTTGTGGTCGATTTCCAGCAGTAATGTTGGAAATCGTCCAACAAGCTTCCTTCTTAATAGACTCCTTAGGGCTGCTCAGAAGGTGAAGTAAAGACTGCAGTGCTGAACAGTTCAGAATCACCTGAAAAACGAATTAAATCACACACACACTGTCAGATCACCAACATTTCTCATGCACACACATTGATACGGAGTTGGAGTAGATGCTGCCATTACTTGCGTCTGCAGATCATCTCCAGTGACTATGTTTCCAACGGCTCTCAGTGCAGGAGATACCACCTTATAATCAGAGTGCCTAAATGGAAGCAGAATTGCAGCCAGTCAATTCACAGAAATTAAAAGATATCTTTCTAATCAATTTCAGTAATTCAGTACAGATTAGTGTGTGGCTTCAGTTTGATAGTGCCATACAACACGTTTGCATTATTTAATCATTGTTACCATCTTGCTTTCAAGAATACTCCAGGTTTCTGCATGAAGTTCAATTCCAGAGTTTTCTGGCCAATGAGTGGTAGGGAAGCGGCTGTTCCAAACGTTGCAGTTCTGAATTCTCCCGAGTGGTGCACGACTTTACACGAGTGAATAAAGTGAATTTGATTGGTCGTTTCTCAAGAGGGCGGGATTGTTGTGGCAGAAGGTTCACAAGCAAGTTTAATTGTGGCCGGTTTCTTGGAAGCATCGTTGCTAACCGGTTAGCAACTCAGTGCTAGTAGGTTCCCAATGGGAAATTACATTGAGATCAGGAAGCACTAAATAGGTGACTTAGCAACGACACTGTCAAGGAACGTTATGGACAGCGGAAACATGCAAGAGGTGGAGAGTTTTGTGTCGGAGGTCATGGAGTCTCCTCCGTCCCCTTTCAGTGGAGCCCTCACAGAGCCCACTTTTACAAAGTGCAAAGTTCTGCTGGAAAAAGCATTTTATGAAGCATTAAATTCTCTGAAACATCCTGGTGGAATGAAGGTCTGACTTTGTACTTTGAGAAGACGCAGGGGACCAGCAACTGGGAATGGCTCCCTAAATCAGCCCTACAGAGGTAACTAAATTGTATTGCAATGCCTATTACAGCTCTTCTGGCTTAATGTTGTTCACGTTCAAACTTCTGTCTGAACACCTGATTCTGCCATTTTGTTGTGGACTAAATGTTGGACCTTAAGCATCTTAAATTTTGCCTCTTAATCTTTCTTGTTTTTTTATAAATCTTGGTTCTTTGTTTGCAGAACTTAAGAACAGAGACACACCGCTTCTTTCTGATTCGAAGATGTTTTCTTCATCACACTGGCCTCACCGTGGGTCACTTTACGGACCATTGGACTGGTGAGTCTGAGTAACAACAGGAGACTATGCACTGGGATGGTTTCACTTTATCTGTTTTCTGTACTACGGAACTCATACCCTGTATAAGAGAACTGTTTAATCAAATGTTTTAATGATTGTGTATCTCCAAATCTTCTCTTGCTATATTTGCACAAATTTTCTGCCATGTGTTTCCAGACTAACCTATATAGGGGAGAGCCTTCATGCTGTTGCGTGCTGGGGCAGCAGACTATAGGTGAAGGACGGCAACAGATTTAAACTCATGCGAAAGGCCAGTCACATTGTTGGAGAGGAGCTGAACTCTCTGACAAGTGTCAGAGAGGAGAATGTTGGCCAGGATAAAATCCATGCTGGACAATTCTGCACATCCTCTTTATAATGTGTAAGTCACTCACAGATGTACCTTCAGTCAGAGACTCATTTCACCACACTGCACAACAGACGGCCACAGGAAGTCATTCCCGCCTGTGGCCATCAAACTGTATAATTCATCTCTCTGACAGTAATTTCATTGCTTATTCATTTCATTACTTCACTATGCAAAATAAAACCATCATATGCAATAAAAGTAATTTAGTGACTGAGCAGTATTATAAATTTTAAATACTGTTGCTTGTATATACTGAGACACTTATTCTATTCCTATATCTTATTAAACACTGTTTATATGGGAAGGGTGTAATTTTACTGGGTGGGTTGTAATTTTACTGGGTGGGTTGTAATTTTACTTATCTTATTCAGTCTTATTATATTATATTTTGCTCTGTCCTACTTTTGTACATGGTAGCACTGCAAGAAAAAAATTTCCTACAAGGGATTAATTAAGTAATTCTGATTCTGATTTGACATAACACCTGGACAATAATTCTGGAGACTCTTGAAGCTCTGATCCAAGCTGTAGGCATTTAAAACTCGCTGCTTTGGAAATCTCTTAAATTGTGATGGTGCCACATTGTTTTCCTTCCACTCAACTTTCTAATAATATGAACTGGAACATGACTATGACTAGCCGGTTTCTTAAGTTTTATGGCAAAAGCTTGATTTATGCTCGATGCATAACCGAGGCCCAGGGCCAAATTACACAGTATTGGGCTTCCATGCCCCTCCATGCAGACAGAATTTCTGCACGAAGCATAGAAGAAATTTGTAACTACTTCGATGGAGCCAAACGGAAAACATGCCAGCGAGCAGCAGCTCCCAGTGACGAGGGTTCGCAAATGTAGACATCTAGAGACGTCCCGTAAAGCTCATTAATACCACCACTGTCAACACATTAAGGAAAACTCAGGAACTAAGGAAAATGACTGTCCCTCTTGAACAGCATGAAGAGGCTTTTCCTCTTGTAATGTGGTTGTGACGTGCGGGATGTCCGTGCGTCAAGCATAATGAACTCTTTATCCTCCTTTAGACGAGCGACTATCTGAAGGACAACTGTCAGGTTTTTCAACAGATTGCAGGAAATAATATTTCTGTATAAATACAGTTCTTTTTTTATCTTGTGCAATATTTGGAATTTCCAAGAAACAATTTTCTATTAAAAAAAAAAAAAAAAAAAAAGTAAAAAATATCACTGTAGTAATAAATATTAGTTTTCACTATTTAGAATTAATAAGTAAAATATTTTCACCAAAAGAAAAGAAAAAAAAGACTTAATTCCAGATGTTTATATGTTCTCTATAGCTTGAGTTTACGCCTTGAGTGACTTACATCAGCAGTTCGACTAGCCTCCGACAGACTCCTGAGTCAATGACAGCCTGGATCTTGTCATTAGGGCCATCAGAAAGGTAGGAGAGCGCCCAGCATGCATCAGCTAGTATGTCTGTGTCGTTAACAAAGAGCAGCCAGGAAAGCACGCTGAGACACGGAGACACCTGGGAGAAACAAGGAGAAACAAGGAGACATAAGACAGTGTTAGAAAAATACTTGTGCTTTTGAATTATGAGCAAAAACAAGCTGTGGCCGTGAGAGGCGAGCAATGCTATACTTCAGCAAAGTGAGACGTGGGCAGTTTCCATAGCAATGAGTGCAAATTACCTTAGCAAAGTCTGGAGGTGGGTTCTTTCCTCTGCACAGGTTCGATAGTGCCCACACGGCATTCCTCATCATTGTTAGACGGTTTTGTTTCGCCAACAACCTGCAGAACATTGCGGATCAAACTTTAGAAGTTGCAGTTTAATTTTCAGTTTAGAAAAACATGAATAAGTAACACTGGTGGCTACATACTGCAGCAGGGAGGGCAGAATGTTACAGTCTATGACAAAGTCTCTGCATTCTGTGCTGTCTCCTGCTATGTTTCCCAAGGCCCATACTGCCTAAAGGGGAAAAGCAGGCATCAAAGTTAGATTAAAACAGGAATAAAAGAATTGTCAGAATTGTTTTTTTATTTAGACTAATGGAAACAACTGAAAAACAAATGACCAAAGAGAAGCCAATTGTTAGGACATTTTCCTACCTGTTCCTGTACATCTTCAAAGTCTGAGCAGAGCATCTCAATAAATATTGGCACGGCGCCTGCCTGGATTACGACACGTGTCTGATGGGATGTACCTGAAGCAATGTTGGTCAGGACCCATGCAGCCTCAAACTAAAACAAGGGATAAAAGTATATAAAAATCTTAGGTTTTTGTTACCCATAAAGACAAAACATCTGCTAGTTGCAAGATCCCCAAATTCTCCAGACATAAATATCAGGAGTTGTCATTCTGCCATTTTTAAGTATACATGTAAATGTTCAATGTTAATATAGGACAGATATTTCTGCAATGTTGACCCTTTAAATATAAACCCATAAAAAACACAGGAAGAGAGGAAGGAAAGCAAAAAGGAATATCAGAAAAGCAGAAATAAATATACTGATGGATTGAAAGACATTGTTGACAAGGAATTAGGAAATAAAACCAGCCAAAATCAATATATTAAATTTTTTCTTGTCTGTAGTTATAGATGTGAAAAACTATTCAAACCAAATTATTCCACAACACATAAGTAGAATGAAGAGACATCTTTTTAAGCCTGGTTTATTTTCAGAAACCAGGAATACCTGCAATGTGCAGTTTTCTCTTCTCTTCAGAAACTCAACAAAGCGCTCCACCACCCCTGGAGTAGCAATAACTTCATCAATGGGTGGGTTTGGTTCTGTGTGGCACAAAGAGAAAAAAAGAGAGGAAAAAAATGTAAATTAAAGATTTCTTTTAGCATTGTTTGTCTGAAATACTGTTAAAATACATGCAGGCAGTAGAATGGTTAATAGTGGAGGATTTTGAAGATCCACATGTATTTCTAACAATATTTAGATCATGGTTAAGACCAGCATGGAAACTTTCCACAAACAGAAAAATACTGTGTTCTGTTGAGAATAAAGGCCACTATCATTACACGTGATGATGTATACCAGAGAAAAACGTACAGGTTGGGACACTGTACCTTTAGAAAGAAGTTTCCTAAAGCGCTGAGTGCCTATTAGCTGCTGCTCCGGAGAACTGGAGAAGATCATCTGGATCATGTCTTCAGAGATGACTCCACACTGCAACAGAATTCGTTTACATTTGATTTAATCCACATTTTATTTGGTTTCATATGGATAAACAGGCTCCTTCTATAAAGGTTTTTTCACCATGAGTGGGTCCAGGTTGTTGGCCTGTGATTCCAGGTAGCCGCTGTCTGCCATTCCATCATCCTCCAGAGTGCCGTCATCCTCCACAGTGGCAACATTTCTCCTTTTAAAAAGCTATGACAGAATAAAAATTACAAATATTCATTTTTTCTTGAACTAGATGTTACATAAATAAGAAGAAGTATTGCACTGGCCAACAAATTGCGTCTAACTGGGCTTAGATGTTACTTTGCAGCCGTATAAAACTTCTTGTATTAAAACTCTTTTTTTCAACAAAACTTTGAGGCCATTCCAGATTTTATGTTTTTCTGCTGAATTAGATCACATGACCGTATTAATTCATTTTGTAACTTTTGACGGCTTGATTTATTTGTAGGAGGCATCAGAAAAAGAGGTGCTGAGTAAAACAAGCTGCACATTTGGAAAACCAAGCATAACCTTTCATCCCTAATGCTGTTTTGTTTTTAACTAGATCTATCCAATATAAGGAATAAAATATTTCATTGTGATATTATTGAGGAAACTTAAAGCGACAATAATAATATTTTGTTTACCAATAATAATACCATACCGTAATACCATGTTTAAATTCCCTTCATAAACAGAGTGATATTTTATGCACTCTAATACTCATCTAAACTTTCGGCTTGAAATTTAAAACATTTTATTTCAATAAGCTCAAAGCTTTTCACAAATATTACTGCCACATTGTGACTTTTAGATGTCAGTGTTAGACCTTTAAAAAGATCCCGGCAACCAAACAGGGAACAAAGCAAAAACGTACAATACTAAATAAAATGTAAAAAAAAAAAAAAAAAAAGAAAGAAAAAAGAAAATTACAAAAACAAAAGTCGAATTACTCTCCAAAAATTAGAGAACATTGCCAAGATTAAAGAAACGCCTGCAAAACCTCTGAACAAGACCACATCCAATCACACCTATTAGAGCATCGAATTCAAATAACGTAATAAATAGCGTCTGTGATTTCCCTCCATCTCTTCCTTTTTCTGAAAAACGGGATCGCTTTTTCAAATGAAGAGGCCAACATCATCTGCCTCATAGCTGATTTATTTAATGTTTTAATTGCTGTGTGGGGAGATGCTCAGATGCAGAGTTTACAACATTCTTCATTTTGGAGCGGATCACTTAAATTGGTACTGCTACCTTTTGCATCAACGGTCAAGCATAAATCAAGCTTTTGCATCGAGGGTCTTACAATCCAGCGCCTTTTGTTGGATGTCCTCGGCGTGAAATTACAAACCACTGCCATATACTGCTTAGCTGAAACACCTGCTATCGCCCAATTATTGTTTGCCGAGTGCTGTAGAGTGTTTGCGTGCCAGCCAGAAAATAATCCGGTTTTTAGGACAGGGTTATGATGCATTCAAAGTATGTGGGAAAAATAAAACTGAAATAGATGCAGACAGCTTAATGTCTTCATGCAACTTTTTACTCAATGGCTCCGATAGTCATTTTAACTATCGTGCGTGGGGAAACATCAAGTACATAGGATATATCGCCCACCCCTATAACACTGTATGAGCTTTAGCATAGCAGCCACAAAATTAACATGAGATGTGTGCATAAAAAGGATTTAAAGTCATATCATGATACCTATAGGATTCAATCCAACCTAATATTGCACTGTATCTGTCTGCAGTGATGGTGATTATATACTTACTGATACTTTGGTTTAACCTTTTGTGCATTTCTATTCAATACATACAATCGTGATAAAAGACATTGAGATATGTGTTCAGGATGCAAAACAGTTCAAGTTCAAGGAATATGAAAGCTTTCAGCAAAGTATTTCCTCCAAAAGATCACTTACTTGTTCATCTTTCTTCTGCTTGCGGAGCTGCAGACCTTCCTCTTCCCTCCTCCTTCTCATCTCATCTGTGTTAAGAGACTTGTTCTTGTAGCTCTTAAGTCTTGCATTGTCCTTACCCTGACTCATGGTGCAGCCTGATAAAATATAAGCATCTATAATCAGCACAAGCTTGGACAGAATTAACCAAGATAGTTTCACTGCTGACAAATATTCTAATTCAAGTGCTAGTAAACTCTTTGAAAATAAATTGGAGATGCCGGCTGCAAGACCTTTCATTCTAAAATGCATGAATGAACTTATTTGAAAACCCAAAGTTTAGAGCATCATTAATTTTTCCTACTCATGGTCTAGTTAAAGGAAATAACACGGGGATGAACAATATCCAGCTTGCTTGTTTCATAATAGTCATAATAGCCCCAAATAAAATAGAATAGTTAGAATAGAAAATCGCTTCATTGTCCCACAGTGGGGAAATTCTGGCGTTAACAGCAGTAAAAAATTTATAGAAAAAAATAAGATCCAGAACCAAGATAAGTAGAAGCAGAATATAAAGTATAGTGTTCAACAAATAATATAAACAAAATTGAGATATATCTGAGTGTTTGTAGTCACCCTTTGTCTCCACAAATAAAAATATTTCTGTTCACTAGAGAGAAATCTTACAAATATGTTACGGTTTAAGCATATTGTTACAAAAGGGATTTCTTGTAGCACAAAAGGGTGATACAAAATAGACAAGTACAGAAACTATAAAAACATTTAAAAAAAAAATTAAAAAAAACACAAATCCTGTACATATAATTTTAAGTCATGTACCTTCCAGCACACCAATTTAGCTTGACAGGTTATATTTCATGAAGTTATACACAGTTAGGGAAGTATTGGCCTAGAGGTTAGAGCAGTGCGCTTGTGCTCTGAGAAGGTTGCAAGTACCCGGTTCAATCCACACAGACTACCTCTCTGGGTCCCTGAGCAAGACCTTAACCCCACACTGCTCCCTGGTTGCTTAACAATGACAGCCCACTGCTCCTCAAGGGGAAGGGTTAAATGCAGCAAGATAATTTCTCGCTAATAATTTCTGTGAGATCAATAAAGTTCAATTATTATTTACTTTTATTATTATTTAGGCCACCACAAAGACTAGTCAGACTCAGTTTGGCTCCATAGCCTTGTAGGATTAATGTTGAAAGCTATTTCAATTTAACAAATTTCTTTTTAAACTATAAATTACTTGCCAATTTATTGATAAAATAAAATAATACAAATCTAATTTTAACAATGACAAAAAGCCTTTATTAGTAATTATGAAGTAAATCACAAGTCCTTTCATGTTTTGAACTGAGAAAAATGACAGTTCTATGTCCTACAGCAGCCTTTCCAGTGCTGCGTTGCTTGTTAACTGCAACGTGATTTACATAGAAGGATTAGAGGTGGCACAACTGGGGACACATCAAGAGCTTATTATGTTTGGCAAAAAAAATTTAATGTATTTTGATTATATAGCCTTTTGTTAAATTTAAAATATAAGAGAGAACTTTATGAATACATGCCTGCATCATCATATTTTAATACATGTCCCCAGGTGGACTAAAGTGAAACAGTCCAAGCAGAGCTTTCTTATCACCACTGCAGTCTCAGCTGCTTTTAATCTTAAACAGCTAATAAGTAGATCATTCCCCTAAACAAACATTGCTTAACAACTGAAAGCATTTCAAGAGATACACTGTTAGCAGAGCTAGCTTAATGTTGCTTTGCACGTCCTTACTAGCCAACTAAACCTAAATAAATATTGTAGATACAGCGTTATAAATTTTGATATATAAAACGCAAAAGTTAGAAGTAGCATAATGTCACTAGTCGGTCAGGTTTGTTATGTCACAGCCAGTGCTGGCCGAATTCACCACCCAGAGCTAACAGCCGAACAGGGGCTAACTGGATGCTAGCCCGCAATGAGCCCACCGCACCACAACGGATAACCTAAACCTCGCAAACAACTCTGCTTGGAATCTTGACATTTACTCTTAATTATCCCACTTGTAAAAAAGCACAACATTAAAATATCAAATATTAGTGTTGTTCTGACCTGTCAGATTGGGCTTGTAATCCCCTGTATTCGCTAGGCCACTGTTGAACAGCCGTTGCCGGTATGTCAGTCAATGCGCATGCGCGACACTCACTCCTCTTGCGTATCATAGCTCCGCCCACACGGCGCTTTTACTTTGTAAACAAACGAACTGTCCGCCTTTAAATTGAAAATATTAACCTGAAATTCGACACATGCCATATTCTCTTTACAAAAATGCAGCGTAAGGCATATTTACTATTTTATCAACAAGTCATAAATAATAAGTTTCATCCACACATTTCAATACACATTTTAATAAACCCCCTAATTACATATATTGTATGAAATTGTGTTATATCAATATCATATCGGGTCCTATAGTCCTAGTCTTCAGTCCTATACTAATAACTTTCATCACAATCTTAGCATGCTTAAAATTCAAAATTGAGTCAAGGGTCACACCAACATTTTTATATTCCGTGACTATACCAGTCAGGTGCCATGTATCTAAAGAAACCCAGTTATTTTTTTGTTGTTGTTGATTTTGATTTATTTTTTTGTGGATGATTGTAGATGCCTTTACATTCTTGATGAAATGAATCCAGATTTTATTCATATTATATGTTATTCTTAAACATCTTCCCACTGTGTTTATGTTGTCTCTCCTGGTGACCCCTTGCTCTTTATCCTTCTATTCTCCTCAGCTTAGAGCTTTTTGGCTTGCATAGGAAATGTAGTGTGGACAGAAATATTGACAAAGTATATCTGTCTGAACCCAGCATCCCGTCAAGGACAAATGCTCTCCTTTTCCATTGGTACATTTCTACTCAACTGGAGTTTGGCTCTATTCTGCATATTTTCATTTCATTTGATTTCCAATAAAATGGAGCAACATCTCAGTGTCAGTGGGATCTCCAAGAACGATGCAGCCAAACAGTAAAAAAAAAAAAAAAAAGTAATGTGGTCTTATTTAAAAGGATACAAACACAACAAAAGCCATATACTGCATATCAATCTAGGGCTTTAGTTGGATTCATATTCTTATAAAATACTTTAAAGACTGCAAATATTATACTACAAATTATGCTACAAATATTAATACTATAAAATGTATACTGTGATTATTAGTAAATTCACACCTATACAGTCAGTAATCGAGAGTCTGCTTATGTTAAATTTCAAGTACGACTGGACATGGTTGTGGGATATGTGTATATACCGTACTTAACCAACACTAAAGATATTCAAATGCACTGAGCCATTTGTTTGTTTTCAGCAAAAAAACAAAACAAAACAAAAAAACAAAAAAAACACAACCGTGAAAATTATTTTAATATTGATTCATTGGGTTAAAGATGATTATAATAGATTCTTTGCCTGCTCAACACATTAAGGCGAAGCTTTTGACCGCCCCAAGATGGCGCCACCAAATCACGTATATGCCCATAGGCGAAAGGGATAGATGCGGGTCTACTCTTGTATTATGGGTATACAAATTGTTTGTTGTTCATTGTTTGTTGTTATTGTAACAGAAATTAATTGCGCTGCTTCCTCCTGATTCTTGTTTTTTCCATCAACACTTTGAAAACAGTCGGCACACAGCCGCGTCAAAGACCCGCCCCCTGCCTGTGCTTTTTGTTTGGATTGGTTGAATTCCGTGATTGACAGAACAACGATAGGAAGGACATAATAAAAAAAAATGGCCACTCCGGGGTAAAAAAAAAACAAAAAAAAAAACAGCAGGTGTCTCTTTGGTCTGGCCTGACCCGCCAGCTTGACGGCAACCTGACAAGTTATGAAACCATCTTTTTTTTTTTCTGGCGTCTGACCTGGCGTGCTGCCGATACTTTTTAAGTTGACTAGACGACCATCAGGCGCCAGGTGGACCACGGGTCATCCGATTGGCCACGCGACACATAAACAGCTGGCTAATAGACCTCATTATGCGCACTTTTCATACCTTATTATGACCCCTTTTGGTCTAATAAGCTCTAATCCTCATGGCCCTCCACCAACTTTCAGTAACAAATGAAAGTTAACATTTTGCCCCCACAAAAAAGAAAAGCATTAGTTAATGCTTTTCACAACATCTGCAACTATATTTTGTATATATTTTGAATTACACCATACTTTTGGCATTGTTTTATCAATAGCAGTATTAATCCAACATTATTAAGAAGCAAATACATGCACAAATAAACAATACAACTTTTAATCATGCATCTATTTGATGTTCCTCCACAAAAACATTTTTTTATTGTCTTATTAATAAATAATCTCTTAATACATGTGTGTAAATACAATTTAGAGAAATTTTTAATGTAGAAATAATAATGAAGAATAAAAAAAATAAAAAATAGTTCTTCTCATTATGACCCCATTTTGTGCTTGGAGTTGAAGCAGCATGTCTCATGCTGACAGGACCGTCTGCCAGATAGAGGAGCAATGACCTTTGTTTGACCCCTGGGGTCCAAAACAAAAAAAAACCGGATGCACAGTCTGCAACGTTTTAAAAGAGTATTTGAAATAGCATTTAATCGATTACTGTGATTACCAGCGTCATAATATTTCCCCTTTTCATATAATAATCAACAATGATGATCATAATTGAGGTAGGCCCACATGCAGATTAAATTGCACGAACCCTTATGTGCTTTTAAATCTCGAGTTAGAAGAAAAGAAAATCGGTATCCTTCAAAGATTATTTTCATACACAGGTGACACATCAAACAGCATGCAAGAAACACCTCCCATTAGTAGGCAAACATTGTTTCACCTTGTAGCTATTTTCAGCCCTCTATAAATATGGCTGCACATTGTATTAGAGGATCCAGCAATTCAGGAAAAACAAAACAAACAAAACAGTTTTCCAAAATAATAAGCAACATGCAAGCAGGAGTTTACCCCCAGAGCTTCGACATGTGGAGGGACTACATGGGCCTGAGCAGCGTCCTGTTGGGCCATCGGTGTCCGGAGGGGCCCAGAAACCCAGAGGAGCGCAGCGAGGGGCCAGTCCAGCAGATCCTATCCCTCCATGCTTCTCTCTCTTGGATGAAATCCAAAAACTTTCCAGAGATCAGATCGACCAGCAACAGCCTGTCAGACTCCAGCTGCAGCGGCGGGACCTCGGCGGACTTATGTCACTTCTGCAGGCATAACGGGGAGTCTCCACTCGTGTACCGGTCCCACGCACTCAAATCTGACGGTGGGAAGGTGACCTGCCCCATCTTACGGAGATACACCTGCCCTATCTGCGGGGCCAGCGGGGATCACGCACACACACGCAAGTACTGTCCAGAAAGGAAGAGGAGGGAGGCGGTGAGGGAGCTCCCTGAGCTCAAGTTCTGGTAACTGATGATGGACTCAGATTCCTTTTCTATAAACTGTACATATTTACAAACAAATGTTATTGTTACCCACCAGAAAGCACTTGTTCCAATGGCTTTACCAAAACAAAATAAACAGTGTCCTTAACAGTACATTCTTTGAAATCTCTTTATTGATATCGTGTCACCTATATCTGTCACTGTGTGCACTATTTTTACACTGATATTTAATCATTCATCTCCTAAGTTGCTGTTCTATAAAAGTCAGGAAGGTTCAGTAGTGGATCTAGTTTCATAAATCCTACCCTGCCTTCATAAGAAATAAAACTCCAATTCGTTTTTGTAACCCCATTTTTTTAATTAACATTTGGGGATCCTTCAGTCCAGAGATTAGATTTAATCCGATTTTGATGAGAAGATAACAGGCACGGTTTTGGATAGATAAAAAAAACATACAAATAAAAAAAAAAATCTGTTTTTAAATTATCAAAACAATTTGATTGCTTTGTAAAAGTAATTAACATATTTATGAATATCCTTAGGATTCTCTGACTACTTTTAACAATGGAAAACAGAGCAAAACAGAGAAACAGTATTGAAAGAAATTGCTCATGGCTGATATATTCTGTTGTAAAAACGTTATTTAACAAAAATGTACATAATCTGATTGCTTTAACGCAACCTTTCACTCATTATACACACAGTCTGCATTTTTCATGCAATACAATTATCATGATGTATTTTGATTAGTCCACCATTTCCACCATGTTTTTAAATGATCAAAACAATTTGATTGCTTATCAAAACTAATTAACATATTTATGAATATCCTTAGGATTCTCTGACTACTTGATAGATAGATAGATAGATAGATAGATAGATAGATAGATAGATAGATAGATAGATAGATAGATAGATAGATAGATAGATGATAGATAGAACAATTGGAAAACAGAGAAACAGTATACAAATTGCNTAGATAGATAGATAGATAGATAGATAGATAGATAGATAGATAGATAGATAGATAGATAGATAGATAGATAGATAGATAGATAGATAGACAGACAATTGGAAAACAGAGAAACAGTATACAAATTGCTCGTGGCTGATGTATTTTGTAATAAAAATGTTATTTAACAGTTTTACATAATCTGATTGCTTTAACACAACCTTTCACTCATTAAACACCAAGTCAGCATTTTTCATGCAATACAATTATCATGATGTATTTTGATTAGTCCACCATTTCATAACTTGGAGATCAGGCTCAGTAGAATTCCCATTTCCTATTGGCTGATTCTGAAGGAGCAATGCAGTGATTGGGTCAGAAAACTTACACAAACATATGAATGCATCATAAATATTATGTTATCCAACATAGTATAGGGGGCAAAGTCTTACTTTTTATATGTTTAGAATTACTGAAAAGAGTCGTAAACAGGAGTCAGTTTAGGTGGAACCTTGTTTCTTTTTTTATTTAAAAAGATGTGTCTAGAAAATATTTACTCTCATGTTGTAAGTTTAAACCATGTAAACGTGCTGATGAATCATAAACCCAACATCATAAAAGACCTGCTGTTACCCAACACAGCCTTTTCTATTGAAGAGAAGACCCTCGTCTTATACGTCTCACTGGAGAATTCTCCTCCAAGAGCACGAAGCTAATATAATCAGTTTCTGGTAATGCTGCTGAGAGTTTGCTCTGACAGCTTCCTATTTCCCCTTGTTTTCTAGATGGGTTGATCTGTAATTATTTTGTGCTTTCAGATAAGCTGAATTATCAAGAATGGCGAAACACAATATTGGTCTTTTGATGGCCATTGTGATGGCATTGATCATCTTCATCATCACCATGGCCTTCTCTGCTCTGGCGGCTGCAGGAAGTTGTAAGTCTTAGTGTGAAAATTATAATTAAGATGATTATTATTCGGTTATAATGTTCATTGCAACATAAGTTAGCTTTGGATTGATTAAAAATGTGATTACTTCTTAAATTTTAACTTCTGATACAAAACTTGCAATAACACCAAAAATATAGGTAGAAAACCAGCAAATCTTGTCGTAATTATATCATTATTTAAAATTTTCTGCATGTTTGGTGAATTTTCAACTTTTGTCATATTTTTGTTCTCTGCATTTGTACCCTAAAGCCCCCTTCTTGTACGACACCAGCAATATTTCTGCTCAGTTCGTTATCCAGCTCACGCCATCAGGCTGGACCTTCACAATCTGGACCATCATTTACATCTTTCTGGCTTTGGTGATGGTGTACGGCATCTCTGGCATCTTCAGGAAGTAAGGGACAAAAAATGGCAACTCAAATTGATTTGATGTCAGTGAAACATTATAAAGCGATGTTTAGTTTGACTATTTGTGAATCCTCTCCACAGAAATGCCTATGGTTATGTGTACTGCAGCCCTGCAGTTTTACCGCTCGGCTTTTATGCGTTTTGGTGCTTGAATCTCATCTTAAACATCTCCTGGTTGTTCCTATGGGACAGGATGTAAGTTCATGTCTTTTTATATCAGTAAAAATCATTTTCAGAATTTGTAAGTAGTATCTTCTGCAATAATCTTCAGATACTCTTATTTTACAGAACAGGAGTTATTAGTAGAATTCAGCACAGAGATAGTCCTTATTTTTGGAATTTAAAGTAATGCTTTACAATGCAGAAAACTATCACATCTTGTAAGTTACGTTTAAAGTCCAGGATAATATGTAACCAGTTTATCTACAGGAAACATTTAGTGCATAAGATACTGTCTTTAAGTTGAGAGGTATAGAATTTTTGATGCAATGACAAAAATCAAAATAAAAGTAAGGAAATATTGCAGCTCAATTAATTTAATCACTCTGAGGATTAGTTTAACCATTGAAATCAAAGATTCCATTTAAAATTAATTATTTATTAATGCTGCTTAAATGACACACTGTTCAAGGAACAACCTTAGGTATTACATATATCATATGTACTCAGACCATTATTTTTCCTGTTGTTCAGTGGATAGACAACAAACTGATGTTTATATAATACATTCTTTTGTAAAATATTTATTTTTCTTTGAAAAAAGGTGGTAACATTATTTTATAAATATATGTCATGAAATATTAGTTTTATTGGTCAATTAATGAAATAAATAACTGAAATAAATTGAGAATTACTTGTCATTTTTATTGTATTCAGTGTAAGGGTCAAATGGATTTAGGGATTATATACTTTTTTGCCAGAAAGAGTCTGATTAGGAAGAACAGAAATAATTTTAACATGTGCAATTAGCTTAACAAAACATGTCTATGAAACATTTTGCAACATATATGTGGGGTTCTTCTTGGATTTCTCTAGCTCTAGATTCTAAAATGATAAAAATAAAAATAGATGATCCACCCCCTCCAAAAAAAAGGACTTGAAACCTGTCTGTTGATTTGTTTATGTGTATCATGCAAACCCAGATGTATGGTTTGCATGATGAATGGTTTCATTTAATTGAAACAGGTTTCAAATAGACGAAACCATAGATCAAAATGCATAGTTAACCTCGTCTTCAAAGGTCAATGAAAGTTCTTTATGGGTGCGTTTTATCTATTTTTTGCACATGTTCGCAGACTAAAACTGTTGGATTTCTGTATGCAGTGCTGTGATAAAGCTGACCTTTGTTTAGGAGATAAGCAGGAGAATTAATGCATATTAAAGCAGAGGGAAACAGCTGTATATCTGTTTTATTCAAACTGTATTTTTATTTTTTTTCTCCAAGGTTCATGCCTGCTGCGTTGGCTTTCCTCATCCTAATCGCACTGACTAACTACGTAGTGATATTTTTCTCCTGCTATGGTCTGAGCCAGTATGGAGCCTGGCTCAACAAATATCACAGAGTCGACCTGTGGCTCCATCGACTGCTGGTCAGATATGCAACACAACCCTTTACCTTCTCAACCACTGTGTCAGAATCTGTCTTAATCATTAAATTGTCTGTATTGCAGATTCAGAATGGGATTGCCATATATGCCACATGGACAACCATAGCGTCCCTTGTTAACCTGACCATCGTTCTAGTGTACAACGCCAATGTATCCGACACAGATGCTGCCACCATTTCCCTTTCTCTTTTAACTGTGGTGGTGGTTGCATGGTATGTACAAATCAGACAAAAATGAAAACTTTATCTGACTAAAGAATAAAAAGGGGTCGGTAATGTCTTGGCTCCTTTTCTGTCTCAGGTTTTTCCTGGAAAACTTTATCCTCGACAGACACGTGAGGTTTGTCCTCACCGTCTATCCGGTCGTGATATGGGCGCTGACGGGCGTCTTTACGGAAAACTACAACGCTGCTGATCCCACTCGCAACAACATCTTCAATGGTGAGGAAAAAGGCTGCTGATCTCGGTGCCTTTCAGCATTATTGGTAAAGCTTTATGATTTAGTTTGGTGTAAAAACAATAAGACATTTGCATGGTTTGTCAGCACAGAATGGAACAGAAATCTTTATTACAGATAATATGTATTTGCAGTAGTGGCACATCCCCCTTCTTTAAAAAAATCTTAATAATCATCCCCCTTCTTAAATAACCAACCCCCCATATCATCCCATGTGACATTTTATTACTGAGTGTGTACAATTTCTGCTATATATTAACACTAATGGCAATAATATTGCCCTTTCAATATTTGGCGGGCTTACGGATAGCCTGAGGAAAATAAATAAAATCAAAGAAGTGACCTACCTGACTATAAAGCTGATCCCAGTGGGAAATTTGTCCTCTGCATTTGTCTGTAGCTATGTAGAGTCAGTGATAGCCATGCCAGTCCAGGGATTGGTCCAAGGTGCCTTGGTCAAGGTCAATGACCGGCTTACCTGACATGTAACAACCATACCATGCATATTACTCTAGGTTAATAGACTATATTAATAAGGCTATGTTCCATTATGTAAATTCCATCATCCCCCATTCTTTTGTTATTTACAACTAGACTACTGAGTAGTGGTAGGGTAATGATTTGGGATGGAAAATTAATAACAAACCAAATCAATGTAGAAGTAGAAAACGTAACAAGGATGGACTATAGCCACTCTATAAAACATCAGCTGTATATAAAGCCCTGCTAAACAGATTGTATACCTATTAAAAAGAATTTATGTCATATGTGTCCTTTTGGAAAATTGAATAAATAGGGATAAACAAGGATACTTGATTTTTATTTTTTTTTTTTGTTTGTTTTAAAGATGAAACTCGAACAAATTTGATGTGCCTTTGTTTTCAGAACCCCTAAGTAAACGGTATTATTTGCAGAGTCACATTTAACTGCAGTACAACTTGGGGTTCTAATAGCTTTGCACATATTAGATGAAGGGAATCTGTGGTTGCATAAAAGTTGCAGTTCTTTTGATGAGGGGGGGAAAAAGTTCCCAAACAGACTAGCTTATTGCACATAGTTCCCTACTTGTTTTTAGGAAATATACAAAACTGAACTTTAATGCACTTTACCACACCAATATTACTCTTCACTCACGAGGAGTTGTATGTTTTTAAAGTTCCAGCTAAGCTTTGTTAGTTGGCTTTCAATGATTAATTCTCATTCATCAAGTTTTACGCCCAGTGTGGCCGTGATGATTATAGTTATATGTTAATTTCCTTACTCATCCCGAGCCACAACCTTCTGTCAATCATGACTTTTAGTCTACTAACCGCCACCGTTTCTCCACTGTAGCTGCCCTGTTAGGTGTCGCCTGTTTCCTGTTTGTCACACGGATACTTCTCGTCTCTTGGAGGCAAATCAAGAAGCCGCTCTACAAAGACGTAAACCCTGATGACATGTCCCCGATGGAGATCGCAGAGAAGCAGAAAAGGTTTTTAAAGTGAGCTTCTTGATTGAATGTTGGAGGCCTTCTTTTATCTCAGAGTTTATCCTGCAATCATGAGAAATTTTAAGAATCCTTTTTATATGCACTGAGAAGTTTACCATGTATTCACCCTAGAATGTACTGCTGGCTCTTGATGAAGCCTCTGTGAAAAATATGGCTGCCTTATGCTCTGAGGCCTCTGATTGATTTGGGTGCTCTTTATATTTTCTATGCCTTTAGTCCTTTACATGTTATAAGTTTTTATATGTTATTGTTTGCTTTTTGTCAACACAATTTGACCTTTGGATCATCTTTCTTTTCTATTATGGTATATAAATTTACCACTGACTGAATATTTAATGCATCTGGATTACTTATTTGTACAACAATTACGATGTCAGAATCAGAAAGATGTTATTCATTCCTAACGGAAATAATATATTATTGAATGTAAAATTATAAAAAATTTGATTGAAGAAATGTGCATATTAAATAAATGTATGAAAAAAAAAATGTTTACTGTTGTAATTTTACTTCATTTTCTTTCAAAGCAGAGACTTGCTCATTAATCATTAAAAGTTGTTTCAAGTTATATATACAAACTATTATGGTTTAACTTAAAAACAGCTATTTTATGTTTTAGCATCAATAAATTGCAGGAACTATAAGAACCCTCATTATGGAGACAAGCACCATAAAGATACTGAGTTTTTATTTTAATATAAGTTTTTTTTACCCAGACCTGTGCCTTTAAAGTCAATAGAGTCACAACATCGACCCTGTTGTGACTGAACTAAATGCAGCTGCACCGGCTGATGTAAGAAAGCATCAGGCTCTGGTCGGTATAACCAAAATGCCCGAAGCTGGCGCAGATATGGATTGTTGGTTTATTTTTTATCAGGGTTATTTGCCCCCCCACCAGTACAGTAAATAGAATTAAATAATGCAGCCCAGATCCAACTTACATTCAAACAACATATGTAAATGTAGAGCAAATAAATAAAATAAAACTGTGTGCTGCTTAAGATATTTTTTTTTAATCTAAGTGAAAACTAATTCTACAATAGTAAGCAAAATGAAAACTAACAACAAGAGACATAAAATCGGACAAATGTCCTCAGCTATTACTGGTAGTGCACCAAGCTCCTCCATACAACATCCAGGACTCAGATCTGCTGCCTTACCGATCATCAGCCATCATATAACCTGGTTAAATCTTCTAAGCAGTTAATTTTCAAGCTAGGTTGAAATTAATCGGTTGCATATAAGAAGACCTAACCCTATTAAAATATTTGAAGACTATTCACATATTTTGTGACTTTCACAGTTGTGCTGCTTTCTTATTCCAGGGTGAAGGGGATGCATTTTCTTTTTTTCTTTTGCTTATTCATTTTTTTTTTACATGACCATATCTATTGGGTGAATTAATATTTTTTCAGGTGAGCATGAATGATTCTAAAACATCTTGCTTTTAATAGAAATCAAATTTTATGCTGTTATAACTTTCTGAAAGTTAAATGGACAATAATAATTGAGGCTGATATGCCTCAGTCCACTCTATGGCCACTTAGTACTAGAAAAAGAATCAGTTTGTAAAAAACTCAGAATTAATTTAGTATAACATTGATAAAAGAGGAGAACATTCATTCTTACACAAGGATTTAAATCTCCCATACGTGTCTATCTGCTCTGTAATCTCCTTATTGTGAGTTATCAGCTCATGTATGGGTGGGGGTGTAGTCATCTGGCCAGTGTCAACTCCACTTGGAGGAAAGTCTTTATGAAACAAATGTTATCGAATAAAACAACTTTGTACCTAAGGTGTTAATCTTTACCTGTCTACTCTGTGTTGGAATAAAAGTAACACAAATAAAAAGAAAAAGAAAATCAGAGAGGAGAGCAGAATTTTGAGACAAGGAAAATAGAAAAATCTTAAACAGAAACCTTTTCCATGTGTTTAAAAGCTTAGGGGGCAACATTTGGACACTTCAGCTGATTCCAGCTTTCTATGAAACTATTATTATATCTGGCTTTATTTGCTGCTCTCGTTCATATATGTGCTATTTTGCTAAAATTGTATTTATATGTCTTCCATTTTACTTTTTTTATGAATTTTTGTTTGAACAAAAATTCATAAAAAACACTGCACCTGATATAAGACACTAAGACTTATTTGTAGAATGACGTCCTCTGTTATAGGAAAATAAAAAATATAGCTTTGACTATATTTTATTTGAGTCATAATTCTAACAATAAAAGGAATGTAATATAAATGTATACATGTCGTCTGAAAATAACTAGGTATTCTGTAGCGAGCAGTATGTGCATACAAGATAAGAGCCACACGTGACCTCTCATGGTGGGTCATAAAAGTTCTCCTTACCTAACTATGAACCTTCTATATAAACAGGCTAATCTGCCCTGTACTCTGCATTTACCTTTTTCTCTTTACACCAGCGACTTAGTGGAGATCAGAAGGAGCAAATAAGGTATGTAAAAGTTCATCTTCCTGCATACTATACATGTGTGGACCCTTTATCTTCTCACGCTGCCGGGGTTTTATTGACTAGCGTAAAATGCGAGATGATATAGAAACACGTGAATCCATGTGTTTAATGTCACAAATGTGTGTTCAAAAGGAAGTATTTAATTATTACATTTTCTATTTGGTATTCTCATACCTTAAATGTGTATTTTTCTCTGTATGTCAATGGTATAACTGCAGGATACCACAATGGCAGAGCACAACTACAGACGCCTTGCTGCCATTGTCATATCGTTTGCTGTCTTTGCAATAAGCCTTGTGTTCAATGTGCTGTCTGTGTTTGCAGTGGGTGAGTTGAATCATATTTTATTTCTTTTTTAAGCTTAGTGTGCTGGAAGACTTCGATTATTCATGCAGCATTATAAACATGAGTTTCCCTTGAGTTTGAATTCATATTTACATTCTTGTTTTGTAGGTCCTTATACAACCACTACAGCCAATGTGTCGGCTGTATATGACACAGAGCTCACTCCTTCAGGGTGGACCTTCTCCATCTGGGGTCTCATCTACATCTGGCTGGCAGCAATGATGCTCTACGTTGTTTCTGGTATTTTCAGAAGGTAGTTCAGACATTCTATGTTCAAACAATGGCTCTGTGATGAAGACAAAATGAAGGATTAAATTGTGTCCTGATTGTTTTGTCCTGCAGTAATGGTTATGGATACGTCTACGCCGGCCCTGCAGGGTTGCCGTATGGTTTCTTCATCAGCTGGTGTCTCAATCAAGGATTTAATATCTCCTGGCTTCTTGTTTGGGACAGAGGGTAAAAGCCTTCCCTCCATACTCTAAAAGCTTTAGGTTGCTTTTCTAAAAATGCAAACCAAACTTGTAGCCAAATATAGATGCCTTTTAAAGCAAGTTTTTTGAAAATCACAAAAAAGCAAAAACATTTTAATCTGTTTTCTCTTTTCATAGACTGATGATTCCTGCTCTTATTTTCCTCATCCTGATCATCTGTACAAACTACAGCATGGTTGGCTTCATCTGCCACAGACTTCACATTTATGGACCCTGGCTAAAAAGTACAATTGAAAAAGATCTGTGGCTCCTGCGGGTGTTGGTAAGTTGTTGTAATGCAGAGCCAGCCACAGAATGCAAACTAAACCAGTGCTTAATGACCCAACTTTAGCATGAATAATCACCAATATTAGGTTTACAAATATTCAATAATCACACAGTAATACCAAAAAATAAAGAGCATTTTGTTCCCCTTTTTACCAGCTTCAGTAATGGCTTTGCTTCTAGGGTTGATATAGATATTTTACTCCAAAACATTTACCCCTGGATTGTATAGAACCACCTCATAAGGAAAGATTTTCAACATTCTTATTTTGCTTTTGTTTAGTTTCTTTTTAATAAACTACAAAATAACCTAATAAATAATAATTGCGGGACAGAGGCACATAGCAAGGAGCTAAAGAGGATGAGAAAATAGAAGCATGGTACGTAGAAAAATAAGAAACCAAAGGAGAATTGTATCAATGGTTTAAAAGGAAAGAACGCTATACATCTATTATTAATATTAGGAAATAACTAGAGAATGTAAGACCAAAATATTATGAACAGCAAAAAAATAATCAGAAAGGAGAATCAAAAAATCTAACACTTTAATATAGAAAAGAAAAATGGGGAAATTGTGGTGTTACAGCTGCAAAAAAGATTACACCAAAATTTATTTCACAAATATGGACATTATAAGTGTAAAAAAAAAAAAAAAAAAAAGAATAAGCAACAGAGAGAAGAAAATAAACGAAATACTGCCCTGTGCAGTGTTTTTACAATATACATACCGGTACTGTGCATCTGAAGAATAGATAATCATTATATAGCTGTGGACATTTGTATAGTAATGGATATGTGAAAATAGCATCAACACCAGATATGTGCAAAAAAATGACCACAGCATTTTATATAAATGACCAAGACAGAAACTTTACAAAAATCAGCATGAATGTAACAGATCATATCATAGCTGGGTTTCAAGAAATACTTTCAAGTCATATAAAATCTTAGTTTATGAAAAAAACTAAAAGACTAACATAAAAGTCTTCAAAAAACATCCTGGCAAGCATCAATTTTCGTTAATTTATTTAACCACAAATGAGCCCAAAATCTCCAAAAGATTTTTTGTAACTTAATGTCAAACAGTGATAAGAACCCGTCTTTTTATTCAGCTTATGTAAGTAGCCCTCCGACAACTTTCTCAAAGCAAAAGTAAAAAGGTACTTGGTAAAATGGCTACTGAAGGACTGAGTGACTGTTGACTCATACAGTAACATCTGATTAAAGGTTTTAAAATATTTGATCATATAGACAGTTATGAGCAAATTGTGATACTTTAAAGTAAAACATTTAATAAAAATTAGTGGAAAAAGATGGCATGCTTACAAAATAACCAATTCAGGAATTTTTTTTTTCAACATAAACTTTTAAAACCAAATGTACAAAAATTTAGTGCATATGTTAGGAAAGGATGAAGAAATTCCAGTGCCAGTATCTATACTGTTTACTATATGTTGATCTGATCTCAAATAGCTAAAGTTACTCTTGTTCTGTAACCAGAAATGTTACTTAAGTAAGAGTAACTGCAAAGATGTGGCTATTTTTGCACATTTATTTATTGTCTAATGAACACTGTAATATCAGTGATGTAAAGCACAGATATTTAAACATTACGTATATTTTTGCTGAGCTGTGTTGATTAATTGTTGCTGGAAGATCTGCAAATCGGCTCTGACATAATCTGATTATATTTTACAGAATTTAATAACAAAAACAACAGGAAAAAGTTTGTTTTGATGTAATTTAATCTGAATCTGCAGGTTCTGAATGGTGTGATGATCTACACATCATGGACAACCATTGCAACGCTCCTCAACCTGACTATAGTGCTAAAATATGAAGCCAACATGTCCTCAGCAGACTCAGCCACCATCTCCTACTCTCTTCTAACTGTGGTTCTGCTTTCATGGTGAGCCTGATTTCTTTTTCAATTTGTCTTTAGAAAGAAGGTAATAAGATTTGCAAAAATAATCAATATTTTTACAGGTTTGTTGTCGAAAACTTTGTCCTGGACAAGCACATGCGGTACGTTTTTATTCCCTACGTTGTTGTGATCTGGGCTTTGTCTGGAAACCTGACCAAGAATTATGACGCCTCCTCACCCAGCCGCAATGGCATCTTTATTGGTAAGAAAAGGGAATGCCACATATCTAAGCATGAGGATATAAAACAAAGATCTGTCTAATATATTGTGTTCTTGTAGCTGTCCTGCTGGCTGTTTCCTGTGTGCTGCTCGCCATCCGGATTGTTTTGGTGGTTTGGAGAAACACCAAACAGCCACTCTATAAAAATGCCAGTCCTGAAGCCTTGGATGTACCAGAAATTACTGAGAGGCAGAAAAAAATATTTCGCTAAGCCTTTTTATGTCATATCCTATTGCAGGAATACATTTCTGTATTTTTTTTTTCTATTTAAATTAGATAGGCTATTTCTATGTAAATTCTGCCACATTAACATTCGCTCCAGTATATTTTTCTGCTATTCTTCTCAGCTTTGACTGCCTGAACTATGAATATCTTACGGTTCTTGCCTTGCATCTATATAAGACTTGGATAGAAATACTGTGACTACATTATAGTCACTTTACTTTAGGCAGACAATGGATTGTACTTAATCATTATATTTTAAGCAGTTTTATATTTGATATATATATCTTCTCTGATGCTTTTTTTTGTTAAATTATTACTTATATTACAAAAGCAGCTTTTTTATTTTACCGATTTTATCGCATTGCTTGTTATTTTAATTGTTTTGTTTGAATTACTTAATTATGATAATTTTCTTAGTGTGAAAATAATTATCTAAACATGACTATGACGTAAATGTTTTTTATGGTGCTTTAAATTTAATATTCAAAGTGCTTTAATGGTTTATGTAAACATAAATAAATCAAATTTATCAAGCTGTGTCATAATCTTACATAGAATCCTCATATACTATCTAAGGCAAAATGGTTGTTTCAGAGGCATTTTTTTTAAATATCAGATATGTAATAATAACAGGACTTTAACAGGGCCATGTATTTTCACTTAAAAAAAAATTTAAACTAACAGTAAATTTAAAATATATCGTCATGTCATGTCTTTGAATCAGATTATCCTAAACTAGTAGGCCAAAGAAACACATGCAAGACTCTGAAAAATAACTGTTTTTCATGGTGTTCTCGGTTAATAAAATTCTCATTTCAAAGAATGTTTTCATTCTGTGTGAAAAATTAAAACATTTTTTAATGGATGATAAAGCAACTGGAATGAAAGGTTGTGCAGTTTAACTGATTTAAAGACACTGCCTGCCTCTCTGTCTGTATTTCTATCTATACCTCTCTGTATAAAGCAGCCAGAACTCCCTAATCATATTCATAAATATATTAATTAGATTTACAAAGCAATCAAATACTTATTGTTTGGATCAGTTAAAAAAAGGTCTTTTTTCTGTTTGTTTGTTTTTATCTATCCAAAACCTTTTCCTTGTCCAAACCTTGTCTTGTACGTATACATGATAAATTCACACTAGTGATTCAAATAAGATAAAACCAAAACAAAAAGTATGTACATGTTTTTTTTTTTCTTCAGAAAAACCCTTAGAAATTTCTCTCTTAATCTAAAAACGTGTTAAACTCAAATACACTTAGACAACTTTTTAAATATTAAAAATAAATTATAAACAAATAAAATGTTATGTGTTAAATTACCAATTTTTTTCCGGTACAAATTTAATATATACAGTAGCATTTTTGATATTTGAATTTGAGTTTTTGTTCATAGTTAACAGTAAGTACATTTTCCGTTAAATGTTTAATTAATTTTATCTTTGAATGTTCAATGTCATCATCATTTTCATTTCATTTATTTATTTATTAGGGACAGTGCATACTAATGAACATCTACAACGTAAATATGCCAGATTGTAGCACTAGTGCTAATTTACATCTGCAGTCCCAATGCAAGTGACCAAGAAAAACACTATCTACAGAAAGACATTATACATGTGTATGCATGTGCATACAGACACACATACATGCATGCCATAATTGCATGCATGCATTTACACAGATGCATGCACACAAACAATTTAAGAGTATAAAAACACAGTCTATAGATAGCCACAGGTTGGGTTATTATAGAAAATAAAATGCATAAATAAAATGTAATGTGTAATGTAATGTGTTATAAAATTAACAATTGTCTGGGTATTTATACAAGAGGAACACATTTTGGAAAAAGACACTGTATACAACATAATATTCACTTCTGTACAAACTTAATGTTTTTTAGGCACACATAAAAAATTTAGTGTCAAGAAAAGTTTTTTACCCAGATTTTTCTTTAAATAACTCAGTTATGACTTAAAAAAAACACAGAGCACCGGGCAGTAAGGCGCCTTTATTTAGGAAAAAATTAAAATAACTCAAGGAAAACAACCCCTCCAACACAAAAATGACATTACTTACGGTGCCTCTAAATAACCTACAGGGGGCAGTAGGCAACACAAGTGACGTGTAGAAGAAGAACCCCACTGTCACAGCCCTGTTATTGAAGCCCTAAACTTTGTCTTTCAGGCTATATTACAAATGTAAAAATTCGTTTTGATAGCTATCTAGTAGGCTTACGTTAACTCTAAACCTACTAAAGTATAATTTTAAAAGAAAAAACTGGATTTTGAAGTAAATAACTTTAAAATCATGGCTACCTGTAAGACCAGGCACAGGGGAGAGGTTTTAGACTTCGCGGGTTATTTATAAATAGTCAACGGCGCCATTGTTTCTGTAAGAATGATTTTAAGTTTGATGAAAATAGCTCATCCACTGACTTATATTTACACAGTAGAGTGTTCCTTCAGTAGTTCCAGAACGGGGTGGACATTAACATATTCAAAAGGTCGAGTAAATAAGCCAATAGTTGGAAAAGACAGGAAAGCTACCGTTAGCTGTTAACTTCAGCATCGACAGATGAGGGAATCGTCGTTGCGGTTTTAAACACTGATACCTGGCAGACAAAAATGGAGCAACCGTACCGGACTGGGGTTACTAAGGTTGGTTTTCTTGCTCTCGTTGTCTCTTTATCACCCATGATATATTGAAGAGCTACAGGCTAACCTGTATCTGATTTTTTTTTTTTAGCCCTGCTCTGTTTGCTTGTAGTGCTAAACGATGGGCGGGGGAATTCTTTTTTGTTTATGTTTTGTACAAGAAAATTTGGAGTGAAATGGCATTAATGTGATCCAACCCGTTTTAAAATTAACACTTCTTGTCAAACATCTTTATATGTTTCATTTACACTTGATCCGTTATATTTGATTAAAGATTTATGTTATGGGATGAAACCATTACGAAGTATCGACACATCAATTTATATCTTATTGAAGTAGCTCAGAACCTATAAATTACACATCTTAGCTCTATTAAAATGTATGAACCAATAGTGTTAGTCTACAAGTGTCCTTCTAAATGTAAGTTAATATGCCTTATTGAGGGCCATTGCTGCTGCACCAAAAAGGAGGACATTATGTGGCAGATCAATAAATTACTAAGGTCTACATAATAATCGGGTATTCTCTCATTTATGGTGCAATTTGAGGGGTTTAAAGAGGATGGTTGTGTAGCTGAATAGGGAAAAAATATTAATGGAAAATCAAATAGTATACTTTCACAGTATTTGTATTTAATACATTGTGGTGTTCAAAAAGTGAGTCTTTTAAAGTGCAGAATGCCACAAAGCATAACATTTGGGGGACTTAAATGTTTGAAAACGTTTATTTTATGGTAACTGTGCAATGAAGTTGGCACAAAAAGGGTATTATTGTAATCAGCAGGTCTTCTTGTTATTGTTACTGCTTCTGATACAGAGTACCAATACAAGTGCCTAAAAAAGCTTTGTGAAAAGTTTTCATCTTATTTTATAAAGCGCCCGACTGAATTGATCAATTAATTAAACATAATTGTTTTGATACTGTGATCTTTGTCAAATATAGAAGAGGTATCAGTTTGAGTTGTTTTTCAGGAGTACTTGACACCAGTATTGGTATGAGTGCATCCCTAGCTCCCATTCCCCTTCTGAAAAAAAAACTGTCCCACAGAATTATGCTGCTGTAGAGCTCAGTAATTTACAATATCTGTGCATTTTTAGAAAACGCACATCTACATCTACGCAGAGGAAGATCAAACTAGAGTGGCAATTTTGGTCGAGCAAATTAAAATTTTCCTTTTTTGACAAAATCATTTTGCCCTACTGCCATCACAGTGTGTATCGTGTGTCCCATGTAGGCTCAAAGACGTGAATCTTTTTTTAATCTGAGCTCGTATCTCCATGCTTGTTCTGTTCTTTTTGTACATGAATTGTAATGAAGTGTAAACAAAATTTCTTATGGTTTGTTTTTGCCTCCACTGTACAGCTGTGTTTATGCTAAGCTTTATAAACAGGTGATTTTTGACCTTTAAAGACAGCTGGTTGTAGCCAAGCTTGTTCAAAGGTATGGAAAAAAAGGTCACCGAATTTAACTTCTCAGAGTTTTGTTAGTGAAACAAAAAGAAAAAAAAATCCTAGATGTATATAATTTCTGTCCTCGTCCAAAATATCCACAGCCTTTTCGCCGTCTATTTGATTTAGTTTCAACGAATGTTTTGTGTTTATTATTTAACTACATCTCAAAAGATTGAAAGGTACATTAATACTTAAAATGATCAAGGAAATGTAATATCTCATGCGATGTTAAAGAGTATTAACAGATTGGATTAATTATTAGCGTTCTTTATGGAATGACCCTGGTTCTGCTATTTGTTTCTTTGTAAATATAAGCAGATTGATTTTCTCTGTTCACAGAGGATTACCAAGAAGAAACTGGAATACTTTACAGGAAAGCAAAGGTATGCTTCTGTTCATATAGAAGACTATTCATCTGTTTTCTCCTATTTCTTTTTATAGTAGAATGCAATAGAATCTCATGTAGATGAACAACATTTATATCATATGGGAATAATTCCTCGTAACATTTCAGGTTAGGCATAATTATGTTATTAATGCGATTTTGGCGGCTAGATTTCTTTGGGGAACTCTTTTGAATGAAATTACTCCAAATGTGAGGAAAATCGATGTGATGTTTTTCTCTAAACGTTAAGCTGGGTATTAAGTTGTCATAATCAAGGTATAATCTGGGACTAATTCCACAATAAATGCCCCAAAATACTCTCTCCACATTTTTCAGTAATTGGTAATAAACGCATAATTAATTGTTTTTCCAGTTTTTATATTGTGACATTGTTAGTTTAAAAATGTTTATTTTCTGCTTTAACAAGATACAGTGAATTTGGGTGTATTATTCAATTATAATAATCCAATCTTGAATCCAGTGCATTTATTGGTGATGTGTATTTCATGTATTTTTGTCTAGCAATATGTTTTTTTTTTTATATATATATATATAATTTGAAATAGGATTTTTCTCCTGCACTTTATGTTTCAGTTTGCCTAATGGAGTCGGAGAGACTTTCACATATGAGGATGTCAGCAAGTTTGATGATGGTCAGTGGTTTTTAAAGTGGGATCTGCTGGGGGGGAATACTTTCTTTTGTTATTATAACAGAACATTGTTTTTTCTATACTTTATTGAATATAAAAAAGATTGTAATAATATCTTGAGAAGGATTTAAATCTACTTAACCTCCCATCATGGATGGCTGGGTCCTGAAATTCCTTTTCCCACACAGATGTGTTGTAACACACCTGTGTGTGTCTGGCCTTTTTCCTTTAATGATAAATGATAAATGTAGAGCATTTCTACAAGCAGGCAGTCACTTCTGTAGGGTACTGACAGGCATTAAGGACCCACCCCTCCCACTTCTTTGGTTGTCAAAAAGTATCGATACTCAAAATCTACATTTAAATTCAATACTAGTTTTGAATGGTATCTAGACTAAATCCAAGTGTTGTTTGCATATTTTTTGCTATTGTTAACTTTAGATTTCTAGATTATTTGCACATCAAACGAGTAATACCTCAAACATGGGGGGTGTTCCCTGATTTAAGCTTGTATGATTATAATGAACCCGTTTCAGGCTGTATGATGTTTTATGTGTGCTGTTTTTTTTTATTTTTATTTTTTAATGCTCTTATCTTTATTGTGTCTTTTTTTTCCAACCAATTAAAAAACGTTCATTTGTTTTTCTTTCTCCAGAAGTGTGTGCACCTGAGCCAAACCTACAATTAGTGTTGCTGCAGAGTTCTGTTTCTGAAACTCTTCACAGTGAGGAGTCCATTTCTCCGGCTTCACATAAAGACCTCCCAGCTGCAAAACCTTCAGAACCCCATATCTCCTTGCATGGTCAAGTCAGTATAGCGATTTTGTCTGAAGCTACAGAGAATAATTTTTTGGACTATTTCTGACCCTTTTTCAGTATAATCTCAGTCATGTTTATGGGCTCAGCCCTTGCTTTATGAATGTTAATTGACTCTGACACAATTTGATTATTTGTTTTGTATATGTTTAGGATCCCAGTGAACTTGTCCCATTCGACATACATGAGCCAATGAAGACTTCCAGTCCCATAATACAAAATATGATCAAAAGGACCAGAGAGAAGCAGGACGAGAATGAGAATGAGGATCTTACTGTGACACCGATTTTCTTTATCAATGAGGATGAAGAATCTCACCCAGACGCCGTAGCCACTCACAAACCTCAGTGCAATGGACAATCCACCGAAGAGTAAAAGCATTTATTTTATTTAGTCCTGCTTGCCAGAAACACATCTGAGACATTTATTACTTTTTAGTGTTTTTTTTTTCCTTTCAAATCTTTTTAACATAATTTTTCTTTGTAGGATTGATGAACTGGACTCTCCTCCGAGCCGGATTACATTGACCAAGGTGTTCAGTCACAAAGCAAAGCTTAATATTCCAAGGTAAGTTTTTATTTTATTTATTTTTTTTATAATTACTGGTTAGATTTGAGATATATTAAATTATCTTTGTGGCATTCAAACAGCAAATGATGCATATCAGAACCCCACAATGTAACTTGAGAAGGTTGGACCTGTCACTGAATGAGTCATGTGACCTGATATAGTGGACTCAGTCAACATACCATTCGGACAGATGATAACTTCCCCGTTGGTCCACTGTGTGGTGCCTGCATCATCTTTGTTGTTAGTTGCTGCTGTCAGGTAGCGACAGCCTACGGCAACAGCAGCAAATCCAATAATGCTTTGCATAGTGAGCTCTCTGACAAAGCATTCTGGGATATATCTGCCTCTTCTGAGGCCTGTCTTTTCTTCTCATACACTTCATGGACACTTTTTCTCTTACAACCCTTGACCATTTTCAAAGTACCGCAGTGAGAAAGATGAGCTTCAATGACTGTCTGACTGAAAAATATAGCTTACTCGGGATGAGCACGTAGGACGGCCTAACATTAACGTATCACCAGAATGATTGACAATTAGCAGGACCACTTATTTAGATGATCCAAACGGAAATAAAAGATCGTCTTCTATACTTTTAAAGGTCTTTTTGGTCACATTCAGATGGACGTTTTATTGGTAACTGTTAAATCGTTTTAACCTGATCTAGTTTCAGCCAATTGTCTCGGCTCTTTGACTTTCCAACAATTACATCAAAAAGATTTTGGCAGTTGGGGGAAAAATACTTCAGTTTTTCCTGTCATCAATGGATTTCTGCTGTTATGTGCATTACGTAAATACATCGTTTTAAAATTCTTAGCTCCTCCTTCATGACATAATTTTTCACCGCTGTTGGATATTTGAAAAAACAATATGATTAATAAAATGGAAATTAAGGTATATAATTCTATAAGAATGCTTTATTATTTGCTGTAAACTAAAGTCATCGGTTCCATTTTAATTAAATGCTGACCCCACTTTTAGTTTTCACAGCAAAGATTTTTGAGCAGGTTTTTTCAAGTTTTTCTTCAAGTCTTCCAAATTGGATGTATTTCGTTTCCAGTAAATAATTTTTTTTTAACGTTATACGCAGTCAGAAGAAACCCGTTATGGAATGAAACACACTTTTAAGCATTGCACTGGTGAAGATTCAGCCTCTTGAACTGCTGAGGCTTTTCAGCCAATTATTCACCTCATGAGCCGCTCTCTGGTGCCATCTAGTGGACAAATAATGTAAAAGTAGTGGCAATAATAAGGATATGATTCTTATATTCTTGTTTAAAACATTGAAGTAAATAGATAACTGAATGTTGTTTGTGCCATGCCAATAAATCCAGGGCTTATAGCAATTAACCTATAAGTAGACTTGATCAGGTTTGATCCGCTCACATTATGAGTTCAAACTTATTCAATATGTGTTTTTTATCTTTAACAGCAAGGGTGAAAACATCAAGAAATCTGTCGTAGAAGAGCCTAAAGTTGTTTCTCCTACAAAACAGTCCAAATGTGTCTCCAGCCAGCCACCTGCACATATCTTTCCTGGTGTGAGAAACGACATGGCAAGTTTCATGAACAAGCTTCTGGCAAGAAAATCTGAACTCTCACAGTAAGCATGGCTAAAAGCACGCTATAATAATCTGTTTAACTAGATCTTTCTTATAAATATAGCATCAGGATTACTTTGTTGTTGCCTTTTTCATATTTGTTTGAACAACACCCTTGTGTTCTTTTTTAAGGGCCCAGAAACCTCCAGTCAAAGCGCCTCCTCCTCTTCCTCCTTTGGAGCCTGACGATGACTTTTTAATTCTGGAAGATGATGCACCGCTTAAGTTTTCTTTTCCAAAGAAAAATGTCTCGACTGCGAGAAAGAAGCTGAGTAAGAGCCCTAGCTCTAATAAAGAGAGTTCAACAGACAAAGAGACAAAAGATTGTCCTGTGGAGGTTCCAGAAAAACAAAAAGAGGCAGAAATAGCCATCAGCAAACCGGACAGTCAGGCTGTTGATCAGAGGAAAAAGAAAAAGAAAGGCAAAGAGAAAAACCCTGAGGTGGTCATTTCTGCCGATCACAAAGGGGATTTACTCAGTCACCAGGAACTACCTGCAGGCGACCCGATGGAGCAGGAAAAACCAAAGAGTAAAAAACAAATGAAGAGAGTTTCATCAGCACAGAGCGATAAGACAGAAGATCGGCCCAAAGATAAAACAATCGTGCAACCAGACAAAGAAGCACCGGCCGAGAAGAAAACTGGAACGAAAGAACACAAGTCTACCAAGAAGAAGAATTTAAAAGATAAGAAGGAAAATACTCCAAAGGGTGGAACAAACTCTTTAAAAGAGAAGAAAAAACAGCCGGCAGCTGTGAAGGAACCACAGCAGGATGATTTTTCTAGAGAAAAAGGCCAGAAGCACAGTGTTCAGGAGGCAGCAGCTACTGATGAGCTGAGGGGCTTTACAGGTAAGGTCATCATTTCAACCCACAAATTTAGGTTTATAAACTCTAAAATATAAAACTAAGCAAGTTTATTTTTAATGAACCACTAAAAAATATGTTGTAAGAGTTTTTGCATTATTTATCAATTTAATTAGACTTCATTTGTTATTAGCAATTGACAGTTGGGATGAGTTGTTCCTTTTTCTTGACACTGATAGGCCACAGAAATGATTTAAACTGTTTTGATTATGAGTCTATAAAAGTAATAGACTCACGGCTCTTCCTTTTAAGTATTTTTTTATCTGTATTATTTTGATCATTGGCAGTATCGTAGCCTATAAGGTTTATCTGAGGCGGGATTTTTGCTAGTTGAAAATTTATCTCGGGGAGTGGCGGTCTAGTGGTTAGGGCATTGTGCTTGGAATCCAGAGGTTCTGAGTTCAAGCCCACTCCCACAGACTGACACTGTGGGTTGCTGAGCAAAGAGCCTTAACCCCACACTGCTCCCCGGGCGCCGCACATTGGCAGCCCACTGCTCCCCAAAGGGGATAGGTAAATGCAGAGAGTTCATTTCATTGCTCTGTACTTGTGACAATGGAATCACAATAAGAAAGCTGAAAAAAAAAGTGTTTAAGTGTTTAAATTCTAAAATCAAGAGTAAAAGGCTGGCATGATGATGAGCATTCTGAGTTAGTTTTTTTCCCCTTGATGGATTAATTATCTGCTCCAATGAGGGATAGGCTGCTATGCCTTCCTCTACAGTATAAATAATACAATTTTCATGAAATTTACACTAAATTTTAACATTTAATATTGGCTTCTTTTAGTTGAAGTGGAAAGGTGTTTTATCTTTGGCGTTTATTTAGTGTTATTTGATGTTGACGCATTCACCGAAGCTACTTTTTTTGGCTTATTATTGAAATAATTTTAGTTTGCAACAGCTAATGATTATTTTGCTAATTGATTCATGTGTTCACATTCTTTTTCTGATTAAGCGGTGCATGATAGAAGAGCAGAATGGAGCTTTGATAGATATATTTTTTACAGGATTTTTATCCAGGTTAAGCTTAAACTATGCCACTGTAGCAATTATGAGTAGATTGTATCTAAACTGAAATGAAAGATGTATAAAATTCATAGAAAAAGATTATTAGGCCATCCTTATTTTCTTTTTTTGAATAACAAAGGTGGTCTTTTTTTTCTCTGGCCTTTATTATTTTCCACTGTTTTTACATAATTATTCCTTTGAGTGGGTTGTTATTTAATTTTGTGTTTTATTTAAAAATGATTTGGTTTCTGAAATTAGTTGGGAATTTATATAAAAGCAATTATATTTTGTTCATACCTGATTGTTATAGGCCACACACAGACTGGAATTATGCTGTGCTGTGCTAATCATGATTCCATACTCGTTTTGTCTTAAAGGTCAAATAGTATATAAGTAGTTGCTGACATTTTATTGATCTTTCTTTCTACCCTACAGACAAAGACACAAAATCAAAAGAGGATGAAGAGGCCAAGCAAGACGAAAAGTCAACTGGATATAAAAGCAGTTCATCAGAAGATTTTCCGATTTTAAGGAAAAGAAAGAAGAAGATGCCTGGTGAATGGTGGATAAGCACTCCTCAGAGCTCAGACAAAGCAGCAGACAATTTAAACTTCAAAATGTCCAAACAGAGAACAGAAGAGTCCAGCATAGCGAGTCCTTCCACCTTAAAGAACAAAGACAAAATTTACTCAAGAAGAAACCCGATAGAGCCCAAAAATGTGTTCAGTGATCATACCAACAAAGCTAAAAAGAATAAAGGAAGACAGACTAAAGGGCGAAAAGAGAAGAGAAAACAAACTGAAAAAAACAGTCCAGTTGAGGATAAGCTTGAGGAGCCGCTGATCCCTGATCAGGATCTGGATCAGGATCCAAGACCCTTTTCGTTTTCCAAGAGAGACCAAAGCCTCAACTCAGGTAAAATCACAACGGCTGAAGAGTCATTTGAAGGCTTATTTAAAGCTTATTTAATTGAGAAAGCTTCCTGGAGAGGTAGCCAAACGTCTTCAAATCTTGGAAACCAAGTCCAGTGGATTTTTATTTTTTTTATTTATTTACTTTTATTCTTTAGTTTTTTTGAACTTTTACGGAATATTTAAAGTATACATAATCCCCACTGAAGCCAAATTTTCATTGTTTCATCATTTGTAGAACTTATTGATAGAAATAAATAACTACAGAAAATCAATGCTTTTTTTTTTTCAAATTTTAGCACCTTAGTGTTCCTGATTCCTGTTAGTTTTGTTTTGAATCCCCATATAGAAGCAGTTGTCCAAATTTCCACAAACCTTTAAATGTGCTTCCGTTGCAGGAGGTGAACCATTTCCAAAGGTTTATCATCACATCCCCAATATTCAGAAATCAGCCACATCTACAGCCAGTCAGTCTCAGTCAGAGAAGCAGCTGGGGGAAACCGAATCAAGAAAGCGGAGGAGGAAACCCCCAGTCGACTGGTGGGCGGTTCACTCAGAGGCTAATGATTTGGAAGTCTTAGCCCCACAGTCTCCCCTAAAGGAGCCAAAACAACAGAAAGGGAAGGAAAAACGGCCTATAAGGGCACCAACCAGACCGGCTGTTCCCAGACAGGACAATTCTGCATCAAAGACAAAACGGAGAGCTCCAGAGAAGCCACGCTCTGCTCCAAAGACTGTCAAACGCTCTCTTGCAGACATTTTCACTTCAGCCACAGAGACCCTCGCTGTGGCCACCAACAGAGACGCACATCAGTTTAAGAGGCGTAACGTCACGTCCCAGCCCACAGAGGAGAACACTGACACCAGCCCTGCAATGTGCAGCGGGCTGCATGCAGGCGTACCCAGCGGAGCGGACGCTGATGAATGTTCCCAGTTGATCCCACAGGAGAGACTGTGTCAGACTGAGCTCACGTAAGGAAGAGCAGAAATCACATCCATCTTTAGCCATAAACCCATCAGGTTGACTCTTTGTTTGTTTTGTTTTTCCCTTTAACAGGTCAAGAGTCCTGAGAAGTGGTCCTTCCTCCATGATCCAGCTGGAAAAATATGACGATGATGACATGAGTATGTTTCAGTCACATCAGTTTTTTTCTCTCTCCATGTTTCTGTTCTCTAGTGTAAAGTATCAACATTGTGTGGATAAATGGCATGAAAGGATGATGGTTTTAATGGTTCTAAAACACTTTGGCTCTCACATTTAAACCTGACAACATTGCATCACCAGCTGCGGTTCCTGAGATACTTGTTGACCAAAACACAAAATCCAAAGCTATATAAGAGCCATGGAAGGAGAGTTTTTATTTGGTTTGGCTACAAACATAAAACATAATTTAGCTTTTTGATTCTTAGTACTTCTTTTAAAAGCATGCCAAACATTCGAAATTATTTATTCTTATGTTATAGTATTTTATAAATTAAAAGAATAATCCAATATTGATATTTAAGTCTGAAAAAAGGTCCAATATTTTGTGTTTTTATTTAGAAAAAACTTTAGTGCAAAACTTACTAACACCCTTAATTTAGCTTTATTAGAATAATATAATTTATTAAACCTATGTTATGTTTAGCAGAGTATTAAGAAACTTTACATGAAATGTTTTTTTCCCCCAGAAAACAGAGAAGTGCAGCAGATATTAGTACTTTGAGGTCCCAGAACAACCATTAGATGGCATCCACCATCCAACCAGTTGCATGAGTAATGCAGGATAAAGTCCTTTACTCTCCAACCATTACACTTGGATAAATTCAGTTCTCTAAGCTCTGCAATTAACAGCGTTAAATAAAGAACTACTGATGGAAAAAAACACATCTTTCTCATTGTTAAGTGCAGAATCAATGATGTTGTGAGACTCTTTTTTTCCTTAAACACCCTAAGAAGCCTGTAAGCGTGCACAGCATCATGGACTTAAGGTGCCTGCATATTTCAAAAAAATCTGGTGTTTTTTAAATTTTATTTGGGTCGTCAACAACCAAAAAATTCAACATAGAATGAATTTAAAGGGCTGAAAACCTTTCATAGATATTCTAGATCTGAATCCCTTAGAAAACCTCCTGAGTGAGTTTCACAGAAGACACAAGGCTCTACACAACTAAAGATAGGATTATACAGAAGAGGCAGACTTTATGCATTTTTAATAAAATATATGTTTATTTCAAGAATTATTCTACATCTTTTGCTGAGGTGCCAAGAAATGTGATTCTGAATGTAACACCAGCTGATGGAAATGAACTTTCTGTAAAACCGATTTTCAGTGAACATTAAAATCTTTGACGGGTCCTTGGCGTGAGAACTAATTTATAAAGCATAAATACTCTGAACTACATAAAAGACTGATCCATCACCTGGTGGAGTTAGTAACCTGTGCCAAAAATGTGAGGATTTTAGTCATATTAGGAGAGATTTAGAGAGAAACCATCAGGTGAAAAGATGTAGAAGTGTGGATGATTTCGTTCAGTGATTATACCCCTTTGGATCCACATCTCAGGTTTTAACTGAACTGCAGGGATTCTCTGCCGGCTCAGTGGAGAGCAATGGTTTTCTGATGAATTAGTTAAAACGACTTTACCACATTTGGCTGTTTCACTTGTCAGGCTGGAGGTGCGGCCATGCTGCAATATTTAAAACCCCTGTGGGGGATAAAAAATTCAGGGTGTGTTGCTAACTTGGACAAAGGTATACAGCTTACATCGTTCCATTTACCTCTTATGGAAAAGGGCATTTTTCAGACTTTTTTTTTGCCATTTGTTTCCTCCAGATTATTTTTTTCCCTTATATCTACGTTATTGTATCTGTTTTCCAGATCTTCCATCATCCATAGTCAGATCTGCGCTGTCTATGGCTGATTTTTGTGCCCCTCCCCTCAAACCGCTGACTTTACATTCAACGGATCAGAAAAAACTCCTTGAATTGTTCCAGAGAATCTGGTCCACAGAAGCCGATGGTAAACTTGTGTCTTTAATATGCATCTCTTTGTGTTATTTAGGATTTAAATGGTTTTTGTGTTCCTGTTATATACAATGCTTTTGAAATTATAAGTATGCCACCCACCGAGTAATTTTTCATTCATTTTAAATCTGCAGCAGGAAGTGCTACCATCTCTCCTGACATGTTTCAGTGGTACTTCTACCGGGACCAAGCCCTGGGTATCCAGGTGGACATCAACAGCAGCGCCGTCTGCTCTGGAAAGCTGATCATGGGCTCCTACATGAAGAAACCACTCTGGGTGGATCACAGTGCTACAACAGTCAGTAAATTTTTACTCTTTCCCACCTGTTATGAGACTAGTCGCTTTATTTCCTCATTTTGTTTTTTCCTCTCTTTATCATCCCAAGATATTCAACTTATTGACGAGCTCCGTGAGTGTTACAGTTGACAGCTGTGTCTCTCATTACAAAGCCGGACAAGCTTTTATGGTGGAGTCTGGTAAGAATAACACAAATAAAGACCCCCCTTTTTTTTTTTTACCATATGATCAATTCAAATAGTAATGGCACATCATTGGGATAGACTGCCTATTTTGAACACAAGTATTATAGTTTATTTTATCAATACAGAGTTATTGGAAAATATTAATTAACAATTTAAACTGAAGAAAAAAAAATGTTAGAAAGGGGACTCATTTGTTTATTCCCACTTCATATGGTTAAAAAGAAGCATAGATGTATAAGATTAGGCACAGATGATTAAAGGGTGAATTCTCAGCATCTTAAAGTCGTCCTGGGATTGGGCAGCTGAATTTGTCAAACAAAATTCATATTGTTTCTTTTCTTCAGTGAAATCCTTCATTTTTTCAGCCATAGATAATAACCAGATTAGAGGTTAACAGTTGAGCCTATTTTAGCTCGGACAGTAATCTGTGATACCAGGCATTTGCCCGGTCCTAATTTCAGCATGCAAAGGCCGGCCCTCTTTAAATCATACCGGCCCACCTGTGACAGTAACTCAAGGAGCTCAAAAAGTAATACAATATTATCTACCTAAATGATGCATGCAGTATATTTAGCCCTTCCTTGTTATGCACAACTTTGTGACAATTTTCTATTTCTTCAAACTGTAAAATCCTTGCAACAAATTAAATTATAATAAAACTAAAATGCTGTATTTAATCCAAACTACGATGTTCCTCCTATATTTGGTGAATTTATGTTTGAATATTTTGCAAAAATATTTTGCGGTGCATGATGGGGTTTTGCTAGCCTGGGTGCCAGTCCGAACTTAGTCCCGCCCACAAGGTTTGAGTTCGGGGAAGTTCGGTCTGGCTCTGCTCCATAGTAGCGCGAGTATTATCGCCCACTGTCAGGCGATCCAATCAAATTGTCAGGGCGGGCTTTATACGATGATGGACAGATGATCAAGAGTAACGTAATCAACCACGTGACCAAAGTGCGCATTGGGTGACAACAATAATGGCTGCCGCTGGAGAGTTTGGGTGAGTAGATTCTACTATTAGGTCTGTTCTAGAAGATATCGACAGCAAATTAATTTTAAAAGAGGAACAGAGAAACGCTATCAAGTCTCATCTTCTTATTCTAGGCGTGCAAATGCACGCTTTGATTTTTGTGGACAACAACTATGCCTCGCTTAACATACGTCACGCACTCCGTTGCTCTTATTGGTTGTAGGTCTATCCAATTGAGTGCAGAGGCATTTTTTTTCCTGGTTCGTTCGAAACACGCCCCATAATCACAGCTCTATGGAGCAGTATCAGACTCATATTCTGACTAGAATTGAGTCGGACTACGTCAGGCTAGGGTTTTGCATCTAAAGACTAACGTTTCCTGTCTTACATGCATTGTTTCTAGGTTGGGATATTTCCCAATCTGGCAGTTTAGGATGGCTGTCTCTCAGTAAAAAAAATTTTTCTTTAGATTTATGGCCTAAGAGATCAATAAACTTTGGTTCAAAGTGGGCGAGATTTCATATATCCAGGCGGTTTATGAACAGGAGTCAGTGACATCTAGCAACCCTGCTGATGTGGTGAGTGTGGATGTTATGCAGCAGCAGCAGTAACCGTTGTGTCCCTGTTAATAACCAAAGGCAGTAAAATCGTCTAGGTGACAGTTGTCATGTGATACTTGAAAATAGATTGGTTAATCCACAATGTGTATTCATAAGTGGGCTGGTGTAGATGGAAAAATGCCAAAATCATTCCCAGTCCGAGCCTGTTTAGGACCCTCTCTTTGCAGAGGCGCTTAGTCATAGGAAAACACTTTAGTGTGAGGAGAGACAGGAAGCATCAGGGATGTCTTTAGGACCCTATATATGGGGCCTGTTTCAGCATATATGTTCAGTTCCTAATCTCATAAAGCTACCATTTTTGTCTAAATCTTGTTTATCTGTTTTCACAGGACGAGCCTACAGCATCCAGAATGACAACTTGCAGCCAGCTGTTCTGTACTTTACGAGGATGTTAGCAGAAACTTTAGACTGATGATTTATGTAATGTATATTCAATGATTAAATGTCTGCTCAATTGTCAAAGGTCTGATAATCTGAATGATTGAAAATATAGGCTGTAAATGTAAATGTTTTGTATTTTTTGTATAGAAATTTCTTTCTAACTTGGATTCTGCTTCAGCAGAACCAAAAAAAACAACAACATAAAACATTTCTCAGTAAAGTAGCATTTATTTTGGATTTCTGTCTTCCTAAATTGAACATAAGGTACAATGTCAGCTCTAAAATGTTTATAAAACCATTTTGTATTTTTAGTATATGTTTTTATTATGCATTTTATATATACTAGGAAGTGCATAAGTGCAAACTGCTGGTTGTTTATTTTGCTTTGCTTTAGCAAACCTTTAATTTAAGAAAATAAACTGTACAAAAAAGACAAAAGAAGAGAAAAGGCTGTGAAAGTGTTGCAGTTGAAAAAAAAATCTATACTTTGCAAATTGTTGAAACAGAAAGGGGATTTCATCGCAAACAAAACATACCATTTAGTCATATTTTTATAAAGGTCCTTTTTTTAAGCAGAAAAACTAACAATCCACCTGAGTTTTACTCCTCTTCAGTGTATAAATAAAAGGGAAATGATTTTTGCAAACTCATGTTTTCTGTGTTTTTCATAATTGCAGTGGTTGCCAGGATTAAATGAGTTTACGTTGAATGCTCACTTTAACTATGTCCCCTTCAGACCCTAATGAGGAAACCAAAGATCTTCAGAATGAACAGGGTTAAAGAAATTAGTGTTATATTTCATCCTGACGGCTAATAAATGGTGATCATCTGACCTTAAAGACGGTCCAAATATGAAAGCTAAGTGATGCAGCGAATATGAAGAAGGACGATCTGGTCAGTTAAGAACAATATTAGAATATTTGACCACTGCAAAGAAAAATCTAGTGTACACATCAGTAAACATACCACTGCTAAAGGGAAAATATGATGTAGAAGCTAAAGGACCAATTGTTGAACACATCTAAAAATAATTGATTAAAGCTCTAACTAATAAGATTTATAAACCAGATGAGATAAGCTTGGTATGCGTTCATAACTGTTCAGAGCAGAGCTACTTAAGCAGCTAAATGTAAAAGGTATTGCTGTTCTTTATTAAAACTAATATCATGTTGTTATCCTCTGCCTGCAAATACTGTGAAAAAAAAAATCCAAGTAGCTCAGATGCATAAGAAGGGCCATCAAAACTCAAATCCTAAAAGTTTTTAAATGTACTCTAAAACTAACAAGAAGTAATTTTAGGACATTTCCATTTAATGTTGCAGACTAAATGTGAACCAAATGATTATGCAGTTATTAAAAAGTTGGTATTCACATTTTTTCCCCAAACATTTACAAACACTGAAGGGGATGTAAATACATCACAGGAGGAGGACAGTGGAACATGCTGATGTGGGTAACAGGGTCATCTGATCAACAAAGGTTTTGAAGAGATGGTTATTGAACAGGGATTAAGTGGTTGATAAACTGGGAAGGAGGGGAATTAAAGCTGAACCTGGGGAATGGGAAAGATGGCTGAAAAAGCACAGGGAAAAAGGGAGCTGGACATAAATGCCAAACTAGTTACGGTAAATAAAAAAGTCCCAAAGATCATGGCAGCATCAGCCTCCTGGGTATCTCCCTTTAGTCTAATTCTAGGTGAATTTTTAATTCTAGGCTTGAAGCCTCATTTCTTTAATCCAAGTTAACTCTTGTATAAACAGTACTAAATAAGTCTAAAAAGTTTTATTCTTTAAAAATAGTTGGCTAATATACTGTATCCCAAATTCTGGTGTCGATTATGGACTACCGTCTTAAATAACAAAACAAAAAAAGAAATAAAAAATTATTGGTAGAAAGAATTTTCAAAATAACTAAATACTATCACAGTAAATACTACAGTTATCCTAAGAGAACTTTCTTAGCCTACTAACAGTTGTATTTATATCTGTGGATGTAATTTATGGGAGGGAAATGTCCATTTTGGTCCCCTGCATGACCAAAAACAATGTTATGCTACAGTACGCTACATTCGTTGAGCAGTAGGACCAAGCGGAAAACCGCAGATCAAGCTGAAGCTTCCCTGAGTTTACACCGCCTAAGCTCCTGATTGGCCCTCCATCTTTTCTTGAGTGATGATTGGCTGTCACCGCTGTTACTCCTGGGAAGCTCACTTTATGTGCCACTGAATCAGGTCTCTGATTGGATTGTCAAAGATGCTGAAGTTTGTTATAATAAAAAATACTTGTGTCCCCTTCCCTTCCGAAATTAAAATTTTGTCCTTGTTTATGTTTATTTTTTATGTTTTTAATCTAGCTTCAAAAGTTTTTAGCTAGCTTTTTATTAGCTATTACTCTTATAATGTTTATATTATTGTAGGTTTTTTCTAAATATTTTTTTCAAAATTGGTTAATGTAAAGGTGCAAAAGGTCAGAGTATCCCATTTATTCCATTATAACTATTATTTGTCATCATTAAGCACCAACAGGTGTCTTCACCATATTTTCTTGTGAATGCTCTTAGAGTTTTACTGCAGTCACTGCTGTCGGGGAGTTATAAGAGAAGGTTTTTTTAAAAATCCTCATCATCTTTGGACCTAATAAAGGCAACATCTCTCCATCTTTTACTCCAACCCTTCTCATATTGCCTCTTTCCCAGCAATACTTCTTATACTGTGTCAATTCCTGTTTATTTCTCTTTGAAACAGACCTGGATTTTTTGGAACTGGAGGAAAATGTGTTGCACACATGAAAACGCTCAAATCCAGCTATCATCTGTTGTTTGGTGAGATTTATTGAATTGGATGATTAGACACGTGGGAAATGTATCAATTTACTCTCGTTTAACAAACGAGGAGCTTGGGGGTTGGATTTTTATGGATGCAGGCTACATAATCAGCTCTGTTGCTCAACCCATCCATGTTTTCCTTACAGATGGGGCATGATGGAAGGAAAAATCCATCTTTTTTTACATTTGTGCTAAATTTCTTTCATTCTTTTCCGATGGATCACAGATGTAACAACAAGCCTCACTTTGCTAAAGAAACTTCCCAACTTTGGGTTTAAAAGACTCTTTCTTGTTGCGAGTCACAGTGACAGGAATGCTCAATAAAAACAGTAGAACTTATCATCTTTCAGTCAAACCTCTGAGCCAGCAAATTCTTTGACTCCATAGAGAGTTTCAAGCATTGCCTCCTCAAACTTGATCAGAAGTACCAAAATGACTTCCTGATGACAGTGAGGCATTTTGTGACTCGTATGCACTTAATTTTTATGTTTTCTGTCTATAATTTTCTTTCTGGATGTAAACTACATAAGAATTGATGATGTTTTCTACCAATAATAAGTTAAATGTTTAAACAGAACCAGGAATCGTCACTGTACCCATATTTCTTTTAGGTTCATGCTGCTTAACCAAGCTGCTTTTGAATCTCACTTACTTTAAACTATTAGATTAATCTAACCTCTGGTTTTCTGTGCAGGCAGCAAAAAGTTAAACTCAGTGAAACAAATCAACATGCACAACTTGACTTCAAAGTAAAGAAAGGAAGGATTTCCTGCAGGTAAACCCTCAAAGATGGACCATCTTCTATTGTCTGATTGTCCAGTGCAGATGCAGCTCCTAGTCGCCTCAGGCCAGGATTTGATTCAAAGAATTGAAAGCTGCTTTATCCACCTCAGAATTTCAATGTTATAAGTAGTAAACTGTGTCTATAACCAGCTTTGCTTTCGGTGCCATACAGCATTGGTGCAGAGAAACAGAGATCTGCTTGTTATGCTTTGATACAGTCAGGGTAAAGTAGTGTTCATCGAATGACTTATGATGGATTCTGTTTCCATTTTAGCATAAGATATTGGATCTCAGTATAGCTTGAAATTGGGGGAACTTGGGAACATCGTGTGTGGATGTGGTACGTTATTCTGGAAGCTCTTTGAAGGCATGTTGAATAAGGAGATGCTAAGACTGAGGGAGAAAACACCTTGACACAAATTTGGTATGGCAGGTGAAAACATCTGTGGTGGCTGCAATATAGATTCACAGAAAACAACGCTAGAAAACAGCATTATTTTCCTCTTCACAGATGCCACGGTTGAGCATACAAATCCGTTTCTATAATGTAAAACATCCCAAAATATGGCAAAAACAATTCCAACTCATCTGCTGCCTATTTAGAATGTGGCAGCTGTTATTTCTCAAAGAGCTTCATATTCATATTTATGAGGGTGTATGAAAGATTTGCACATATCGGTCTGCTATGGATCAGCACAAGCCCAAGAAAAGCTTTAATTTTCTCACAATTTTGATATATCTTATTTTATGTAATAAAACGGGCTGCAAAGATCTAAAATTACCTAAAATAGTTTGATGTGATAAATTGTCTAATTTTGTGAAGTAAAACCAGACAAAAATATTGAGAAGAATTTACTTAAAATTAATTGATGTTAACCACACCATGAGGACCAATCATTTCTTTCTAACCAACCAGTGATCACCTTTTGTAGAAGTAGTCAGGGCAATAAAAGATATATTTAATTTTCCCCCCCAGAACAGCATCTAATCCATCAGCTTCACATGGAAAACACACAGTGCCACAATAAACTTTCCAAGAGCACGCTGCTCACTAAAATTCTCAGTCTGGACAAGGAGGAGATCCATTAAAATGTGTTGGAAGAGGAGTCAGAAAAAAAGAAAGCCTTTACTTAATGATGGAAAAGAAAAAGGCATATTTTGAGGTTTCAATAGAGCATGTGGGTGATTTCTCAAATCTATGGAGAAAGATGCTCTGGTCAGATGAAACTGAAATTGAACTTCATCTGATCACTCCAAGATCATCCACAGAGAAACACAGGGGTAGCAGCATCATGTTGTGGGGACTCTATAACAGGTCTGAGTCAAAAGAAAAGATGGATGTTGAACAGTACAGGAATATTCCCACGTCAGTCAGTTCTTAATCTGGGACTGGGGCAGAGATTTACCTTCACCTTGAATAATAACCCAAAGCATACAGCAAAAGCGACACTTTAAATATTTAAGTATAATTAAAAGGCCTAGTCGGGAGTTTGCATGTTCTCCCTGAGCATGCGTGGGTTCTCTCCGGGTACTCCGGCTTCCTCCCACAGTCCCAAAAACATGACTGTTAGGTTATTGGCTTCTCTAAATTGTCCTTAGGTGTGATTGTGTGCATGAATGGTTGTTTTACCTGTGTGTCTCTGTGTTGCCCTGCGATGGACTGGCGACCTGTCCAGGGTGTACCCCGCCTCTCGCCCACTGACACCTGGAGATAGGCAGCAGCACCCCTCGCGACCCCAATTGGGACAAGCGTGTAAGATAATGGATGGATGGATGGATAAAAGGCCTAGTCAAAGTCCAGACCTCAATCCAATTAAAAATCTGTTTTTAGAATCGAAAGCCATTATTGATTACCGTATTTTCACGACCATAAGGCGCACCGTACTAAAAGGCGCAGTCTCAGTTATGTGTCCCATTTCTGTATTTAACACACACATAAGGCGCACCGGACTATAGGGCGCGTTTTT